AATTCAGAATTTAGATATCGAGAATAAATTTAACCCATCCGCCATTTTGATCCCAAAACAGAAAACGACTATGAGGCAACTCGTAACTTTATAAACCGTTAACACCACCACACGTCTGTAATATTGCGTAAATTAAATTTTGTTTTAATGAATCATAAACCAAAGGTATTTTGGTTGAATCTCGTAAAGCAAACATATCTTTAAACAAACATTGGAGAGTGTTCCCCTTTACGTATGGAAGGAGTCCTATAATAATATATACAAAGTACAAAGTACAAACAATAATGGTAAATTTTATAATACTTTGCTTTTCAATAATGGGTTCTGAGACATTAGAGATAAAGATCACGTCAATGATAATAGAACAGTGATAAGGATTTGTCTATGCAATTATTGTGTGGAATGAACTCGGCCTCTACACACCATTTTTGTTTTATTTAAACATCTTAATATTGCAACTAATTTGATAGACAAATTCTGACAATATTACTAGCGTACCCTTTTTAAAAGACCAGCAATTCACTTGTGACTATTCCGGTGTTGCGAGTGGGTGGCCATGAGCAGCGCTAATTGCTTACCATCAGGGGACTCTTCAGCTCGTTTGCTTCTTATTACATTTATTTTATGGCGTTTATTATTATCTATTTCTCTTGATAGGATTTTTTAAAAAGACATTAATTGGTTATGAAAAAAATACTTTTTTATGTCATAGGTCGGCTAACGAGCAGACGAGTAACCTGATGGTAAGCAATCAACGCCGTCCATTTACACTTGTAATATCAAAGGTGTTGCTACAAATGCGTTGTCAGCCTCTTGTGAGTTATTAGGTAAGGGGATTTGAGACACATCGTAAATGTTGCTTCACGCCGGTTTCCTGTGAGGCCGTGGTGTCACTCCGCTTGAGCCGGCCCATTCGCGTCGAAGCATTGCTCTCCCACATACCTACTGCCGTGTATTAAATATGCGAAACAAGTGCTCCAATAAGGTGTTACATTATTAGATGATTACAGCAATGTAATAAGCTAACAATCTGTTACTAATTACACAATATTGCAATACTGGAATCCTGTATATTGTGCTTGTAATTAGTTAATATTGTAGTAATAATAATGTAATGAGATAATTTGAGTACAGGAGATAAATCAATAAACAGGATTACAAGAGCTACTTAATTAATTTTTCTGCAACGAGTCGCCTACAATGGCTTTCGTCACTATTAGAAGGAACTAATTTTAAATAAATTCCCTAAAACTCGGCAAAGCACTCGTAACTCCTCTGGTTGCGGATGCGGATGCGGAGTCGATTGCTTACCATATCAAGTATTCCGTTAGAACTTTTAATCATTATTGCTACCTTACCACACACAAAAAAAAATCAAGAGACGATCTCCGGACGAACCTAGCTTCAATGCCGAACAGACTGACAGACTACTTCTCTATTTTCACGTTTTAAAAGTAGTTTTAGTTGGAATAAATGATTTTGACTTTGACTTCGACTTTGTCCGGCCACCGTAAGCCGGGTCTGCGGACGGCGAGTAAGACTAGCTCGCCGCCCGACCAAAACCAAACCCGAGCGTACGGCGCGTAGCATTCCACGTGCGCTTCAAAGCGCCAATAGACTACCACAGACGGAACCCTATAGGGCCAACCTGCCAGGAAAAGCCATTTAATAATTTTCCCCTAACAAAAAAAAAACACACTCATAAATGACTACAATTATCACTAATTTATCTAGGTGGCTGATATAACTTCAGCAATATTCCTAAATAGAATTTCAGCTAAAACAAACATTACACTGGTAGTACGAAGAAAACGTGAAAGTGCTTCAAATGAAAGATTATTACCAGAGGAACGAGCGAAAATCTCGCTCCGTACGCATATTCTATTATGCGATCTAATTAAATATTTTAGCCTTGGATTGGGAGGCGAGCTGGAGTGGAAGCTTTGAGTAATTTAGAGGGTACTCACAATGTTATTTAGGAGACATTGAGTGTGTTATATTTAGATAACTGACTCTTTTGTCGAGTGGCCCTTAGTCTAGCTGTCAATTAAAAGGTGTTAACACAATTTTCGGGTCTAGACTTATTTATTTTTTTAAGAGAGGGTTTTTTTAATATCATTAGATGACTTCTCTCGCACTGAATGTGACAAAAGGGAGTATCAATCATCATCATCAGCCTATAAGTGCCCATTGCTGATCAAAGGCCTCTTCACACACGGAGAAGCGTTAAGCATTACTCAATACGCTTGCTTAATGCGGGTTGGCGATTTCAAACTTATATTAGGTTTCCTCATCATGTTTACCTTCACCGTATGTCAGTGGTGTCTAGATAATCAAAGAAAGAACATATATCGTTTCAAAAGTACCTATTAATGGTTTAGTTGGAATAAACGATTTTGACTTTGACTTTAACTCGGAAAAAGTCACATTGGTACTTGCCAGGTTTCGAACCCACACCCTCATGCATGAGAAGCGGGCTCCTTAATCTCCAGGCCACCACGACTGTATGGAATGTATGTAAAGGGAGTATCAGATTGTCTTAAAACCATCCCGTACCTTATCGTCCTTCAGTCCGAGGAAGGCGTCACATTATTGCACTGGAATTGCGCGTCAAGTCAAGATATTCCCCGGTCTAACATCATCTTTGTGGAGCCCCATTTGTGGTGATCTTTTAGCTCGGTATGATCAGGTCTGATTCTGGTCGGGCAGTAACTACACTTGCTCACCGTGCATACACCTAGATAAGCTGATAAGACCATCAGACGACATGTCTTGACTTGCCTTTCTTTTAATTATGTACGATGAACAATTAGGGATCTTTCAAAAACATAAAAGCCACAAGTGCAAACAATTCAAATTAAACCCAACGTTACCTAAAATTAAGTTGAAAATAAGAGAAAATACTAGTTAGCCAAAATAATAATTGGATATAACAGATTCGTTTAGAGTGCCAAACTTAAGATTTTATTACTTCAATCACCAAATATTTTGGCTACAGTGAATTTACTTACATCCTTGGAACGTTTAGTTTTGTTTTTTATCATATTCTATGTATTGTCAAAATTAACTAAAAATCGCGGGTTACTCACGTGTGTATTGAGAAAAGCTCTACTAGTTTCGAACCACAGAGGAGTTCTTCCTCATGAGCAGCGTGCGCGGACGCGGCGACGTCGCGCAGCCTACATGTATGAAATGGTTCGAAACTAGTAGAGCTTTTCTCAATATACACACGTGAGTAACCCGCGATTTTTAGTTAATTTAGTATGTCTCACGATAGTTATTATAAAAACATATTGTCAAAATGTTGAGTTGAATAAAACAATTACCCTGGAGAACAGAAAAGGTAGGCCAAATTGTCAATTTGGGATAGCGATATTTCTATAAAAAAATATTATCATATTTAATCTGTAATATAATAAATTAAATATAAAACGTTACATACTATTTCCATATTTATTATTATTAACATTAAAATGCATTTTGTATTTAATTTAAGAGAAATGTTCTGTAGCAATAAAGTACTAATATTTACTACCACATTTTCCTCGAACCAAGAGTTAAAATTAAAGCTCTAACTCATATGGGTATAGACCGCATTTGTAACAGAAAAATCTAATATCGCTGTTATTGGCGCCCAACGTGGGACACAAAATACTTCAATGCTCACAAATGAAGCCACGTCCGTGGAGGCCTGGAACTTCAACGAAAGTACAAAACAAACCTCCTTCGGGAAATCAGATCTATATATTCTTACTTACTTTATAACATTACTTAAAAAATAATAAGAACCTACAAATAGAAAATCTCATTACGCCCCAGGGCACGGCCGACATTATCATTTAAGCAATCTTTTAAGGCGTCATGTAAACTTAATTTCGTATAATGTGGTACTTGTTGACGTCAGCTCATTCTCGAAGGAAGGAATTAAGGACAAATTAATGAAGACACGAAACACAAATTGTTTTATCAAGAAGCAATACAAGTACCATCAATTGAATGATCTCGTTTAGTCTTTAAACCCTTAACTTTGACGAGTTACTTGTAAAGGTTTAAGAGAGTGAGTCCAAAGAAAATGTAATTCGAGGATAAATTCATGTTTGCTCGGGTGGACACTAAGTTAGAAGTGACCAAGTCGCATTTTCGCCCTCAGCACCAGATTTTCAATAGATCCTGCCACGGACGGAACCTAATAAGCCACCGCAATTTCCGACGTTCACCCACCGGTTTCAGTCAACAACACTGTTTTATGCCGCCTTCAACGAAAGTACTTTTGGAAATGTCTTCCAACAGACTTTAGTTTGTGAAAAAAGTTCCGAAGGAAAAAAGGCTAATAGACATTTCTACCCCAATTTATGTAGCTAGAGTTTTAATTAAGTCTGTTCAATTATTTCTAAGTTCAGGGTATTTGCAAAAGATATTCTATATTTTTAATATGATCTTACATAGACTTCATTTAATATTTCAAGAAAATGAGACTATAACCAACAGATTATCATTTTTACCTATGTCAGGATTTTCTTCTGTTTCGTGGATATGTTTTCAAATGATCAAACAATTTGTAGATCACACAAAGATGTCCCGGCGTAAATCAAATCCGCGACACGTTCACAGAGGCCTGTTGTGCAGCCATTACTGTACAGTTAATTATGGATATAAATTTATATTAAGGGGCGTTGATATGCTATGAGCCAACTATCCTATATCATAATTTATTCAATTTAATCCAATAATATAATTATGAACAAACAAACAAAATATAATTACTGCACACATCATAAATAATTGACAAAACGTAACCCTGTAACGAAATATTTTTAGTTAAAATTTGACCTTGAATTGTGTGCAGAACCTTTTTTACAAAACGATGTTTTATACAAATTCATATAAAAACAAATAAAAACTACCTTTTGCAAGACTAAGATGAGGTGTGTATCGTAATAGGGAGTCCAACAAAAGAATTGTGTAAATAAAATATAATAAATTGATGTGTTTTGTTGCAGGAATGGAACGACTACAAGTTGAAATGGAACCCTGACGACTACGGTGGTGTGGAGACTCTGCATGTACCTTCCGAACACATATGGCTGCCTGATATTGTATTATACAATAAGTGAGTTCGATATCAAATATTTTATTCTATTTCCGTACCAAGATCCATGTGACCTCGTAAATCACACTTTCATTGTGTTTAATGGTCTTGTAGTATAGTAGTTGCTTTTCAATAGAGATGTTGCGTTAGAGACTATTGTTGGGATTACTGAAGATAATAATAATTATGTAAGTATATAGCTAGTATCCGTTCCACGATATAAAAAAGACTACAATTCGACTGCACAGTTGACACGGCGAAATAGTATTTTTATTTGTGAACCCACCCACTACAGAGGTAGAGCAGGAGAAGGAACAGGGGGTTTTTAGTCAGTAAGAGTCTGACACTCCCTGTCGCCCGGCCCTGGGCGGGAGAAGTCATTTGATGATTTTCCCCTCACAAAAAAAAACCCACTACCGAGGTGAAAATCTTCATAATAATCAGCCTATAATTGTCCACTGCTGAGCAAAGGCCTCTTCAGACTAGGAAAAGATATCCTCAACATGTTATCTTTCACCGTATGTCAGTGGTGTCTAAATAATCATAGAAAATCTTAGTGTAGGGCAACATTTTATTTTAAGGGCAGTCTAAAAGTTCTAATAGTTCGACATGACATGAACACACATATATACTACATAATGTTCATACGAGTACAAATACCGGCTATAAACATTTATCTCAATCCTGATCCATTAACTTAAGGAACAATTTAAGAAAACTTTCAAAAGAACCTGTGTCTCCTAACTTTGACACTATTTCACTCCCTCCAATGAAAGTTAACTTCCCTTTCTTGTATAAACTCTTTTTATAAAAGCCTTATCTCTTCATTTCCGGTTTGCGGGCAAAAGTCCCATTAGGTTGCATTATCATGACATCTTGACGAGACTCGCAGTAGAATCTGAGGCTGAGACAAAAGTATGTGGCTAATCTCAAGTTGTGCTCACTGGAATAGTACCTATTCTGGTGGACTCGTAAATTTTTTCTTTGTTTAGTTTTAGGTTTGATACCAATGTTGGACACAAATGTTTGTTTAAGTATAGTAATGATTTGATGGTTATTAGTAGTAGTATTGTATGTTTGCTTTTGTGATGATATTTTTGTCAATATGCATAATATTGTGCAAATTCACAAAATGATAAACATATTATTTTGACATTTTCCAAAATGGATCTTATTCCTTATGAAAGGCATGTGATGTGATGAATATCAAAACAGCTTACCCTAAAACCAACGACGAACCTACACAAAATCCTTTTACCATAATCGAAAACTGCAATTGGAAATATCTTCCAAACAAGCAATCAATAACCACACTTTTGGCATACACTCGACACCAAAATCGATCCCTGAGCTCTCCTATCGAAACGCGACCGCCTTAAAAATCCTTATACTTGCAACACTAACCATTATCAGTGGCAGTTCACCGCATTTATATGCATTAACGCCACGTAAGCTCTCAAGTTTGCAGGATTTAAGAGCTTATCTTCATTCAAATAAAGCTGAATTTTGAATAGGTAGTCGGTATCTAGGTGAGGCAGAGAATGCGCCCGAAGTTGGCCAGGCGGAAGGCACGATAAGTGCGGGCTTTAATCTAAATAGCATCAAGGTAGCGTATCGAACTAAACACGCCACGGTAAGCATTCATTATTAACAAACGCTAGACATTGAAATCTCTTTGATGCAGTTTAGTCTCAATTTGTATCAAAGGAAACGGAATTCTAAATTGAATTGAAACTCTGAAGCCTCATCAACATTAATCATGTTGAGATCTTTCTGTTTAATAAAAAGAAAGTTTCCACTGCCCTTTTAGAGGTAGAAAATGTTTTCTGTTTAGTGTTTTGTTTTTGATAGTAAATTTGATTATGATTCCAGTTGTATTTAGTTTGTCGATAGGTGTTATTTTTTTAAAAACTACAAACAACCATTTTGATGATCCTTTTATCGAAAAAATAAGGAGACAATAAGAAATTACATTAGAATAATTGTAGCCCTAATGGTTTCAACTCGACCACCAAGTGTGTTTGTAGAAACTTTTAAGTGGGTCTGTTATTACTAGAAATTGGAATACAAATTAACTTCATTGTAGTGTCCAGAAATAAAATATGTTTTGCTACTTAAACTCTATAAGAGAGAATCAAATAGAGTATTATTTAATTAACCATATTAATCCCTCGTCATTACCAAACCACAAAAAATAATGTCGATGAAAATTCTTTCAATATTTTTATTAATTTCACTTGTTTTATTGTTGTTTAAATATTCTGACGCTAGAGGAGTTGCCCCTAATTTCTAAATTGACAGCCGTAGTTAATTGCTTAATTCTATCTATTTTATTTACCGTTTCGTTCCGTTCTGGGAGTTTTTCATCGTCTCTTGTGTATATTTGTAATAAAGTGAATTTTTAATTTAGTATTTATCATTCTTATTGTCAGTTTTTATATTCAGGTTTATTATAATGTATTTAATTCCATATTACATTAATATCTTTGCATCTCTCTGTACAAGATTGCTGTTAACTTTCGGACTTCTGATTAGAAGCTATAATGAAATTCTACAAATTAAGAATTGTTTATCTCCAAGATAATGTGAATGAAAATTCAACAACAAATCGTTTGTAGCTGACGTACCTTTTAAGAAAATACCTGTGTACCCGATCCTCTAGGCAAAGGTCAATGACATTTACCTGTCAAAAGGTTAAGGAAAGTAATGATGATAAATATTAATTAAAGCATCAGCCTCATTCTTCAACTCCCTGCTCAACAAATGTTTGAATAAAATTCACAAGATGTGAATCCGAAGATTTTAAAGGAATCTTGCCCTGTTTGAGAAACTTTCATAATAAGCATTCAAATTATCCGAATTGGGTTCAATTCCCGCTTGACACAAGTTTGCGATTGGATTAATTTTGGATCATCCAAGTTTAACAGCAGGAACTGTTTAACTACGGTACCAAGTTATTTTAACTTTGTAGTTTATTGCAAACGGTTAAGGTTTTCATTCCTCAGTTAGAAATTTGATCTATAAATTATCGTTAGGACTTGGCTGTGGTTTAGCTCCAGGTGCCAACAAGACTTTGCTAATTAGATGCAATTTGTTTTGTTTAAACAATAATAGCTCTAGGGTAAAATTTTCATTCATTCGATACTAAACTTTAAACCTTGTTTGGTAAATCTCAAAATCATTTTATCTGCACCAGCAAACCATAATCCAATAGAACCAAATCCGCCAACTACTCCAATTGGAATTTCAAAGCGCATCGATTGTTCACTAAGTACGAAATCTTTTTAGTGCCTTCATTTGTATTCTTTGGAGAGCGTTACTTACTTTTAGTACGGCAAACTTTATATCAAATAAAATATAAATTCTAGCAGCTCTGCTCATATATTAAGGTTGTTAGAAGCCCTCACTTGACGTGACTGTAATATTTTTAAATTTAACCAAATAGAGGTAGCACTTTAATGCACCTGTGACTTCCTCTAAAAGCCCACTCCGCGAATATTCAGTGTTAACTTTATTTTTAATGGTACGGCGTTAGCTTAATGGAAGACAAGACGACCTATTTTACGGGACAATTTTCATGAATGCGCAAAAGTTGGTTATGACAAAGCTTTTAGAGGCTTCAACGTCAATTTTGTACCGATAACGAATGGCGGGATCAAAAGGAAGGGTGACGATTTTCATGTTGATATTTGGTCGGAGTTTTCGATTTTAATTATGTGAGCTGTTTGATCGAGTGGTTTTTTAATTTTAATTTTCTTCTTTACGACAATTTTTCTGTATTCGATTATTGGCATATTTGTTATTTTGTATCTTAGTCCTATATAAATTATGCACATTTTCCAGTGTACCTACTTTGATAGTGTTATAGTTTTCTGCTATCTGCACACTTCTCTTACACCATTTTATTCATTCATTTCTAAAACGAAATGTTGTAAAGAGACACAGTCCAGTGTGTAGTAATTAGCTGTGCGGCAGTAAATCAGTCACTTATGTTTGACACGCACAAGGATCAAGTTGATATACTGGTGTAGTCACATTGACTACTGATGACCACATAAATACTTGTAAGTGACGTCACAGCGAATAGATTGGCTGACGAAGCTGAATTTGTAGATTTTATTCTCGTAATTAGATTGCTGCATTGCGTTTTCGGCTTTATGTAGGTAAGGAGGAGGTAGCCTGTCTGTAACATTATTTTTTATTTTATTAAAAGTACTGGCTGAATTAAGAATAAACTTTTAAAAATAGAATTCGAAAATTAAATCTTGTTCTATCAAATAATTAGCACATTATGAGTTATCTGTTCATAAGCCTGCATCATAATTTGAAACTACGCCTAATCTCTCAGAAGTTGGTTCCTAAGCAGCTGTTATAATATATTTTTCAACAAATAATTAAAATAATGGTACTACTTGATGTAAATTATACCTCATCAAATATAAAATAAGAAATTACCCTTCTAAAATGTTCACGCAAATTTCTTAGAAGTATGAACATGGATTTAATTTTATATTAAGAGTCGTTACCTACCTTTGCGAGGTGAAACGCTTAAAATGATTTCATTAAATATATTCAAAGCGAGGCTTAATTTTTTCCCGTACTGTTAACCTACATTTTTATTCACATTCATACACATCAACCACATTCTAGGAAAATAATAAGCGTGGTATATAAGATTTTATGTGAAAATTTTAAATGAAATCATGCGTGCACTTATAAAAGACGCCTTCTCTTTTTCGAAGAGCAAAGTTGAACCATTGCGCAGTGCTCTTGTAAAATATTTCATATCTTACTTTCGTACATGGTTTCACCCGGGTGATATGTTGATAAAACACCCTTCAATTTACAAAATTTCAATCAAAATGGTCCAGCAGTTTTTGCATGAATGAATAACAAACATACATCCATAAGTTCTCACAAAATGTTCACATTTATATTATTAGTAGAATTATAATAATAAAAGATATGAGGTTAGAATATAATTATGAACTCTGAAATCATTCTTAGAATTAATAATTAAATATTATTAAATCATAACTAATCTAACTGGAAATCAAGGCTTTTTTGAGGAGGGCTGAGGAAATCATCAAATGGCTTCTCCTGCCCTGGGCTGGGCGAGAAGGAGTGTCAAACTCTTACTGACTAAAAACATCACGGTCCCTTCTCCTACTCCAGGATCTCAACAACCCTGGCTAGTGTAGGATTCATAATATTATTGAACAAAATGATTTAATTACCTGAGTAAACCTCTACTGAAATCCAAATGGAACTCTTATTTCTCATGTGTCAGCTGGGCGAGGTTGCCACGATGCGTATGCAGCTCTCATTTTGGCTGGAAACTAGTATAGTTTTTTTCAGTTAATGCACGTGCACAAGTCGTAATTTTCAATAATATTCCTTTAGCATTTCTAACTATATCGAAACATTTGACATTCTCACTTCATAATCAAGACGACAACCAGACCTGAGCGTACGATGCGTAGCGTTCCGCACGCGCCTCAAGGGGCCAATAGACCACCATAGACGGGGCCCTATAGGGCTGATGTTCAGCCGGGGTCGGGTAAGCTCAATGAAGCACCGCGACCTCGGCCCAGAGCAGGAGAAGAAACAGGGGGTTTTTAGTTAGTAAGAGTGACACTCCCCACTCCCCCCCGCCCGACCCTGGGCGGAAGTAGTCGTTTGAAGATTTTCCCCACACAAAAATGATCAAGAAGACAATTCTGATTCAAACTCATAATCTAAAAATCTTTCCCTTTTCTAATTTTATGATTTATTTCCAGCGCTGACGGTAACTACGAAGTGACAATTATGACGAAAGCGATTCTTCATCACGACGGCAAAGTAGTGTGGAAGCCACCTGCTATTTACAAGTCCTTCTGTGAGATTGATGTGGAATACTTCCCTTTTGATGAGCAGACCTGCTTCATGAAGTTCGGCTCCTGGAGTTATGATGGATACATGGTAAGTGGAACTCAATGAAACGAGTTTATTTTTGCAAATACGCCATAAAGCAGCAATTTTACACACCAAAATTATTGAAAAACAATAAGATGAAACCGATAACACAGCTACAGATTAAGAGCTATTAATTTCACTTGTTAGACTGAAAGAATTATTTGAAAGGATTGTGGTGTGCTATGATCAAGTTCGGTAGAGATAAGAGGAAAGTTTGTATCAATCTCCATACCAGATCTTAAAAAACTCCATACCAGAAACTATTATTTGTTCTGTTTGGTTTCTGTTCCTAATAGCATAATACCTTGGCACTTATTCCTTGTTGAATTACTAACGGCATCGATAATAGCTCATAGGTACACAGATATGAGGATGGATGTTGAAAATATGCCAAATGAGTCATTCAGTACACGACGGTATAGAGGTATCCTGAGCGACATAGTTTATAAGCGAGAAAGAATTATTATAAAAGCGGTCTTTAATTTTTTACCTGTATGTATGTTTACAAAATTATATATATATCACTGAACTGTCGTACGAAAGTAAGATTTTTTACAATTTATAAAATATGAAAGTTATTACACATCACAACCTGAAACGATATTGTTATAGTTATAAAAAAATATATTGCTTACGATTAAATAGTGAACAATATTGTTCTACGCTTTCTAAGGTTGTCTAAATACTTTTAACCTGAGTTTGAGTCTTGAACTGGCCAAAAAATCGCAAAAAGTCCAACTTAGCTGTTACAACGAACTCTCTATCAGAAAAATATCAGAAAAATAAATCTTGAAGCAATAGAAGTCGCATAAAACTGTAACATGTGACGTCACGTTACTGCCGTATGTCCATTCAAATTTACGTTCATGCCAAAATGATGACAGAATGATTGAATCAAAATGGGATTTCATAAATTCACGACGAAATCATATCTTTTTTTTTATAGTACCACCCTTAATTCAGACGCGATGATAATATTTATATATTACTGGTCCAAATAAAAGGATTAATAAGTATTATTTACCATATCTAGAAAAATGTTAAAAAGACATGCACTTGAAAAGAAAAACAAATAAAGAGATAAGGTTTATTAAGGCATTTTTTTTTAAATAAAATTATAGTTAACGTTAAAAGTATCATAAAATCATAAGCAAACTTATTAGAATTCGTTTTTTTCTAAGCAGACGATCCATCACGTTTGTCAGTTGTGAAACAACGAAGGGGATTCGCCCTAGGAACTTTATTTAAAAAATCTGTCACCGAAAATTGATTTTGTGCTAAGAATAAATTTTTTTCTCGTTGAAAGTGCTCGGGTCCTAATAAAATTGTATGAAACAAAAAAAAATGGTGCCCTAAACGAATTTCGTAGCGAAACGCTTAGAGGGAATGTAATCGAATTCTTTGCCTTTTTCAATACTTACGGTCGAGAGAGATATATTTGTTTCGCCCTGTTTAGAAGTATTTAGAGCTACTATCAAGAAGCGTTGAACAAAATTAAGCTGCATTCAAGTTAAGCGAAAGTAAAATTTTTAATTAATATAATTTGTGCTTCAACTTTAAACACTTCTTATCTATAATATGAGACGTGCGTTTGTATGACACAATGCCAATTTTTTTCAAACCGCTAATGATAACAAAAATATTATGATTGTGTCTAAGTGATCATAAGTAATAAAGACGAGTATTACAAAAAAAACCATTACCGAATTGTAGGAAAACTATAAAGGTGTAAACTCAAAACAGACGCATTCATCTATCGCACTAAGGAGCCTAATAAATCTGTGGTCACCTACTTTCACATAAATAAAGTCTTGGCTTACGTCTGCGCCTTATATCGGCCATGTTAAGGTTAACGGGGGAATTCAGGTAGCCTCTATCCCTTTTCTACCTTACAGTTTTATGCGATAGCAATAACAGCTATTTGTAAGGCTTCGCGTGAATTGTTTGATTCCTTAATAATGGATAGCCGTGTTTGGGTTGTTCTGTAATGCTCAGGCTCCAAAGTGTGACTCACTCTTTCAATGTTAATGATATCTTTATTTTGACATAAAAAAGCTGACAATGTTATTTGCAACTTTTTCTAATCGTAGGTACCTACCTGAACATTATTTGTTTTGCTATAGAAAGGTACCATTTAAGACTTAAGTTGTATAATTGCTGTAAGAATATTTTCTAATTATTTGTTCTTTTAGGTCGACTTGCGGCATTTGAAACAGACGCCTGACTCAGACCGCATCGGAATGGGGATTGATCTGTCGGAGTACTACATCTCAGTGGAATGGGATATCATGCGAGTCCCTGCCACGAGGAATGAAAAATTCTACTCCTGCTGTGAAGAACCGTATCCTGATATCATATTCAACATCACTCTCAGAAGAAAAACCCTGTTCTATACGGTCAATCTCATCATCCCCTGCGTTGGGATCTCATTCCTATCAGTCCTTGTATTCTACCTTCCTTCAGACTCCGGAGAGAAAATCTCGCTCTGTATTTCGATTCTTCTATCGTTGACCGTGTTCTTCTTACTGTTAGCGGAAATTATTCCTCCGACTTCACTAACGGTTCCCTTGTTAGGAAAATATTTGTTGTTCACTATGATGCTAGTTACATTATCAGTAGTTGTCACTATCGTGGTGCTAAACATAAATTTTAGGTCGCCAGTTACCCACCATATGGCCCCGTGGGTGCGGAAAGTCTTTATAGATTTTTTACCCAAAATATTATGTATACAGAGGCCAGAAAAACCGCCCGATGACGACGATGATAACGATAAACCAAGCGAGGTAAGAAATATTGAATCTGCAATTAATCAAGCACAGCACGAAATAAGCACTGAACCAGAACGCATCTCTCGGAAAATCATCAATCATCCGGAATTCATTGGTGTTTATCTTACACCAAGACAGGAATAAACCTCTCGGTCCCGGGCGTTTTAATTAAATTTGTAAAATAAAAGCTTTCACAAATGAAGTTCTTCAGAAGGAATCTCTTTCAGTACGAAAAAACAACACGGCGCCTTTTCTCATTGAGTTTCCTCTATTCAAAACATTTTCCATCGGAACAGATTCAATACAAACAGAACGCTATTACAGCGGAGTCGAAGCCGCCCTCAACAATAACCATTTTAATTGTCCTCAGCCGCGGGACTCTTCTGGGAAACGCTCCTTTCAACGATATTCTAAATCCATTGTACTCTGTGTGTATCGCGAAAATATCGCTTCCAGCCCAATTTCATTCCATTTCGATTTTCCTTTATTACTCAACGCCGGGCGGGCTTAACGAGCGCGCGCGGCCTCCGTTATTTATGTTCCCCTGGTGGCTGCGGACGGATCGCGCGATATATACGATGCCAGCAGGCACGGCCCGAACCGAAACCTCCACTCCGGCCTAATTGTGTGCCGGCTTAAGCTGCGTCGATACACTGGCCCTCGCGGAACGCGCACTGACGTTTTAATCTCCTGGCATTTCATCCGACGCCCATTATTACACTGAAACGACCATTTACTCTACTCTCAATTTCTTTGATTGACCTAAACTGTCTATTTAAAGTACTTAAACTAAATGTTCTTTTCAGATACTCACGGATGTCTTCGGCCCGGATGATATGGATGGAAAGTTCAAAGAATGGGGTTGCGAGGAGTATGAACTACCAGGAATGCCTCCTTCCCCTCCACCTCCGCCAGGAGGTGACGACGAACTATTCTCCCCACCTCCTGGATCCCCGTGCCGCTTAGACTTAGATGATGGTAGCCCGTCTCTAGAAAAACCGTACGTTAGAGAGATGGAAAAGACAATAGAAGGTTCTAGATTTATTGCACAGCATGTCAAAAATAAGGATAAGTTTGAGAGTGTAAGTATTCAGTTGCCTTTATACCGCTTCACTTTGAGCAGTGTCCTGACGAATTGTTTCTTCCAGGTGGAGGATGACTGGAAGTACGTAGCGATGGTGTTGGATAGAATTTTCCTGTTCCTGTTCACAATAGCCTGCGTACTGGGTACGGCGCTAATTATATTCAGGGCGCCTACCTTCTACGACAACACGAAGCCGATAGACATACTGTACTCGAAGATCGCGAAGAAGAAGTTGGAGCTCCTGAAGATGGGCTCTGAAGGTGACCCGGGTCTCTGAAATTCGTCTTACGTCTTCGGCCACTCGCCGCCGAAGACGTTCTGGGAGTTGATCGTCATGTGGTGGCACGGATGATCAATTTAAGACTCCCAGATGGGAATTGCCAGGCGAGAACTATGTGTTTCTGTGCTGTGTGTGGTGCCAAGCGCCCGGTGCGCCCATGGACGTGTACACGCCGTAAGCGTATCCTAAGCCGTCTTTTTATATAGAATCATTAACTCGATGTCGAAACTGTCCGTCGAGGTTCGATTGTTGCAGCGACCTCCAGTAACGGCCGTTTTCTGTTGACGCCGGATCTGCCATAACTATTTTTATATTAGAATCGCTGTATTGAACGTTTATACTTTAAGCGAAACGTTTTCTTTTATAATTAATCAACGGAACGATTGTTTTTCGAGTAATAATTTGATACGAGCGCACAAACATTGTACAGTTTATCTTTAGGTGGTGGAGTTAATTTCTTGCTATAGTCGTATTCATTTTCGGGATGGTAACTGACATGATATTGTAATAGATTACTAAATGTAAGATTTACTTCGAATAAATCGAGCTCAAATTCGTAATATGTAAGTATTGTAAAGTGGTAATATTCAATGAAACGTCGATTAGAATCAAACATTTATAATAATAGTTACGTGCAAACGTCCTCGATGAGAGCCGGACTATGTAGTATATGTATTAAATTATTATGAAATAAATTTGAATTATACATTATATAAATATTTGATAAACTGCGTACTCGCGTAAAAATCTTAAGGACAATATCGATACTGACGAAATGTAATAATTTCCCTTTAGTAGTATGTCGTAAGGGATTGTAGATACAGTTAGGTTAAAAGCCTCAATCATCAGTACAGTAAGACACTTATCATAATGCCAGATAGTTAGTCACATCGCGATCGTGATAATTCTATAACTAGATGTATTTGTGTAAAACAATTGACTGCCAATTGTAAAAATTAAACATTTTTATAAAGATCGGGTATTCTTAGGTAGTTCGATAACTTGTTTTATTAGATTTTTTAAAACGGAGTGCCAAACCCACCCACGTTACAGATGTACAAGTTTGCAATTCTACAATGTTCTGTTTCCACGCGCGCTGACTTCACTGTCGTTAGAAGTATCTTTTTGATTCGCTTGAAAATATTCTGATGTATTTATAAGTAAAACGAATGCTTGCCGAAAATGTAATGACTGATCAATACACATCTTAAAGCTTAAGTTTGGAAGCGCCCGCTTGTCCGTGATCTACCGCAGCGGGGCGTGACGTCACACTTCTTCCGTAATCTTAATATAAACAGTATTTTCACTATAAAACCTAGAGTACAGGGTAAATTTAGTACACGAATGTCTCCTGATTTATATTTCTCACAAATTTTCACTGAATGTAAAGTCTTTACTCACTTATCAGCACTTTACCACTTACACTATTAGGTAATAAATCATTGTTGAGGTTTGTGACTTTAGGAAGTAATTAGGTAACATTATATTAATTTGTACCTAGACTAGTCTCGTATTAGATGTTAAGTTTCGTTCTTGAAATCATGACTCACGGTTCATTTGATAGTTATTTATTATTTGAGACGAACGCACCAGGCGTCGTTACCTCACTTCAACCCATTTAGTAGGATATTTGTAGCAGTCTAAAGTAATAAAAAAATATATTTCGAGCCGCGTATTTGATATGTCAAAGTAAATCATGATAATGTTTATTAGGTAATTACTTAGATAAAATTCAAAGTTATTGATATTAATGATGAATAAAATCCACAGCGAGCAGTTAGGAAAACAGGGATGGATAATGTAAAATAAATTAAAGAAAATCAAATTGTTTTGTGTGGTTTGTCTTCGTAATTATAAGTGTTATTGAATGTGTATAACTGTTCGTGTCGAGGGTAACGCATAAAATGGCTAGTTTAGAAATAGATCGTACGTAATAAAGTAAAGAAAACGGTCTAATGTATTAGACGTCGTGGAAGCTCGCTAAAGGTTGAAAACAAGTAAAATATTAGCAAGTTGCGGTAAACTGCTCTCACATACGACCTGGCTCTAAAGGAATTATTGGAAGGAATTGTAAGTTGTCCTCAACTATGCTGTTAATTTTTCTAAATAAATCATTCACGTGGATTAATAAAAAGTAGGATCGTGCTATTGCACCACCGAAATACACCAATTTAGTATAATAAATAACTATTTATCAATAATGTTTAATTAAGTCCACCGGCTTGGCACACTATCCCGTATGAATCATCCGAACTTTAATTGTAGATATTTGCTAGATGAAAACGGTCTGTTGTTATTTTTATATGAATGCAAATTGATGAATAGTTAGATTTTCTATAACACCATAGGATAAAGTGTTAGGATGGAGTTTGACGTTCAGTATTGGCGTTAGGGATTAAGTGAACAATTGTATATACATATTTGGAGCGTGAACTATGGAGCTAAGTGTAGATTGGATCGGGTTCTATTTGCAACGACACAGTATAAAGGAACTGTAAAGCTTCTGTTGGTGTACTGCAACATTTTCAATGGTTTAATGTTGAATTTAATGAGCTATGTCGATACAACGATTTATTGCCCAGTTTGTGGCGTTATTTCATTCAGTGTTCGTGGCGGACTCTGATTCTTGTACTGGTTTATAGATATTGTATTTATGTATTTATTAATACGGAGATAGTTTAAGCGTCAACTAACAGATGGCGTGCTTTGTGCATCGATGAACAGAATCATCCTCCTTATAAGTTAGCATTTCTTGGACTTTAATGTGCTGATAGACGTGAGCATTCACCTGTCAAAAGAGGTTTGTTATTGAGCGTTTGATTAGAGCCAAACACCACTACGACCATTTTCATGAGTAAAACAAAACATTGTCATTTTGAAATCTTGGGTAATTAGCTATTCTTCTCTTCGCTAAAGCGCTCTGAAAATCGTTGTTGGAATTCTCGCCAGAACGCTTAAGAGAAAATACGCTTAAACTTTTTTATTTTTCCGTTACGAAATAATAATAAGTACTCATTACAAGTTAAACTTCAAACTTCTCAGCACCTTTACGCAAATTAGAGAACACATACGAACCTAATGTACCCATAACGGGTAGGTATGCCACAACCAGCCAAGCACCATTGTTTAGCTTATAACTATCAAATCTTCTCCAAATAAGGGAACATTACGACCTATACGTTTAAGCATCTTAAATCTTCAGAAAAGTAATAAAATATATTTACTTTTATTCTACTTAGGTATAAATTTTATTTAAAACAAATATTTATTCGTAAAATATATATGTACGTATATATATTTATACTCCATTTTTATCTACATATATCTTAACAATATAATGAATGTTTATTTATAAATATTATGTAAAAAAAATAATAAGTATATTTATACATTTAAATTTATTAATACATCTATCGTGTATATGAGTATGCTAGAATTATAATATTATTATATATTATAAAAATCAGCTACAAAAATCAGAGTCACAATATTATTTTGCAATATTAATTTTAAATTTCGAACGTTTTTGAATAGTGTACCCAAAGTGATCGCATCCAGCTCAATATTACATTTTTGTTAAACTTAAGATCCCAGATCTGATTGTGTTACTACTTATCTGCAAGACCTGTTTAGTTACGCTACTTCTCTCTCAAAAACTTGATATTTATATAAAATATTTCGGGTGATAAACGGGTAACTGAACGTGTAGAATTCTGTCATATAATTGACACTAGATAGATAAATTAAAACAATAAAAACATTGCTAGTAAACACTTGTCAATAATATTAAACGTATGTTATAATGTATATTTAATGTTAAGATATATAATTACGGTAAATGATTAGCTTCTCAGTGTTTTTAGAGTTAGTCGACGAATGAGTCAACTTGGCGGCTCGGTGTCAGATAAATTTGTTATTTACTTACCGTCAGATTGAGTTGTTTTAGATTTTTGACGAAAAAGGTTGGGATCGTGCCAAATATCTGTTATTCCTAGAACTGTAGTTTAAACTAGACTAGACTTAATGTTATGTTTGTACATTATTTTTACTCCATTTAATGTTAAGACTTATATTTTATCAACAAGTTTGTCTACATCGGGTGAGAGAGTTGTAAACTCATAGTCAGCTATCATATGGCTGTCAATAATTTTAAGAAATCAACTTGATCGAAATGTTGACATGTAAATATAGCTGATCAACATAGAATTTTAAATAATATTTATAATTGACAAGTTATTTTTCTACGTTCGTTTCAAGTTACCTTTAGAGCTAATGTAGACGTAGTGGGTGGATACCTAAGTAGGTATATTAAAATTGTCAATAAATGTTGTAACAGCAATAAGGCCTTCAAGAATTTAATTTAGATTTTATCATAAAGCATTTTATTTGACTTACATGTAAATTGAATATGTTTTGGAAGGAAGTCAGTATAATAATCCGTAACGCTTTATAATTAGGTTTGACGAAATCTAGAATTTCGAATAGTCATTTCTTCTACACTTTTTGGATATGCTTTATTGCACATTACCTTTCGTTCGCCTTTGGAATAGTTTTTTCTTAATCTTACATTTACGAAATAATCTTTATCTATAAATATTCGAGTAAGTTAGAAATATTCGCATATTTAATCAAACGTCTTCCAAAGTGACGTAAGGTATTTTTATTTTTCGTTGTCTTATACGATTACAATTTATTTGTTTATTTTATTTATTCATGAATAACTCTCTAATTTTTTTCGTCGAATATTTATTTTGTCCGTAACCCTGTTCTCTATTGTTACTTTTATTGTTGCAGTGGTCCTAAACTTAAAAAAGCAGTTTCTCGAAAACACAATGTTGATGTCGACTCAACGACATTGCTTCTAGACTTTTGTATTGAAAAGAAAATAAATGAACATGGAAGTACTTTTACTTTAATTATTCCACACATTCAAATATTAACTCGAAAACAAGATTAACTACTTACTTTTTAAAAGACCATTGCAACTGTCCTTCGGGTTGAGGCTCTGTGAGACTTACAAAACTCTAAAAACAATTTATAATATCATATAGCAAGAGACAGAATAAAGATCTCTTCTATTGAACTTAAAATAAAAAGGTACCCATACCGATAAATATTAAAAAAGTCCGTTCAAATAGTAACTACTTAATAGTTTTGGTTAAGAAGACAGATAACATGTCACGTTTTAGCTTTTTCAAATTGTAATATCTTTATTTGTATTAACATCACATGTGCGACAAATATAGTGTCGGTTTTAAAAATAAATAAAATGAACTCTATATGCTTTAAACTTTCATCAGACATCTACTAAGAACTCAAATAAAAAAAAATAGTAATGCAAGGTCGAAATTTGTAAGTCTCACAAAACTACAATCTAATTGAACAGCAAATTTAAAGCTGTTATATAATTTCTAACCTTCTTTTTTATACCTTCCTAGTTTACTGATATTTTAGAAATAGAATATAAAGAAATGTAATTAATAGGTAGATGAAAACCACACGAAATTTGCGTTGAGCTTCCAACACGATTAGATGTAAATACAGAAATATATAAACCACTATTCACACATATAGACACTTCCTTCTTTCATATGATACATAATTTATGTATTGTTATTACACATAGCTATTTAGAAATACTGACTATCGATATTATTAAAAATCTACATCTCACTAAGACAATACACACAATTTTGTATACCAAAATTATTTAGGAGAAAAAATACAATCTATTTATAAATAAAACAGCCTTATCAATTCAATATGTTCGAAAAATTATGCAGATTAAGAGTGCGAATATAGCTCACAAAATAATGACATCTGAACATATTAAATTCATTAGAAAAACATAATAAACGTTTTATACAGTAAAATTCCAAAATAATTAAATAAAAATCATTATAAATATAATGCACTTACCTTTATTATTAACTACTCATATATCGTATTGTGACGTCACGTCACAAAAATTCAAGAAGACATTGAAACACCTAAATATGATTTTAATTCGACAGTCAGTATTTCTTTAATGCTTTCGTTATCTTTGCAATAAATATTAAATTATAATTTAAGTTGTGTGTGCCTTATTTTATTAGTTCTGATTGGTCTTATGCTTTTACCGTGGAAAGATTTAAAAACATTGACAACAAAACCATGGTATAAAAAGTTACATTTAAAATGACATAGTACTGATATCTCAGTAATCTTTCATAACTGTAAATCAAATAAGATTATCAAGTCATTTTAGAAGACTTCTATCGAAATACGCGCAAAGTATTCATGAGAATAATTCCCATACATTTATTATGGACGGCAAAGTGCAGCAGGTCTCAATATCACACAAGGGATTGCCAAGCAGTCTATGACGTTGTCGTATGTTGAAACATGTTCAACCTTCATTTATACTGTAGCAGACAATTTGCCGTGGCACTGCGGCTACGCATTACAGTGCCAAGTTTAGAATTCAGCCCTGCATTGCGCTATTCGAGACCTGACACAATTAGTACTAACCTAAAATTTTACAAATAACACCTAAAAGGGGAGGGACTTGGAAGAAAATATTTGTTTTTAATCTTCACCACGGTACACGCTACTAAAACCTTTAGTGACTTTTGTAAAATAAATTATACCTTTTGTGTGCTTCAAGTATTCTAGAATTAGTTACCTAAGTTAACTAACCAAAGTTAGTTCAAATAATTTTATCAATGTCTTTAACGGACTTGTATTTAAGGCGAATATTGTGTATATCTTTAATTTAAACGAAAGCAATCGTATTCGTACTATATTATATTATATTATATGTATGTGTAAGTTAAACGTTTTATATTGTCGAATCATTGTAATAATTTGGTGTCGCAACGACATTTAGAATAAGTGTATGTTCGGAAATTTTCGTCTTGTAATATTATTAAGTGTAATTAATGTCCTCGAGTAGTAATTATAATAATTTTTTTGTTTGTTATTGAATTATTTTTCACCTTTCTAGTCACGAGTAACGGTGTTTTTTGTGCAGGAATTGAAGATATGATCAAATCAAAAAATAACGTAAAAAAGTTTAATATTGTCAATAAATAATATTATTATGAGTATTTTTATTCCATAACAAAAATGCAAACTTTATAATGGAAAACAATTCTGATTGTTAAAATACAAGCTAATGAATTATAAATTTATCGAATTTCAACTACTCAGTCTATCTACAATTCCTACAAAACAAACTGACCAGTGAAAATGGCATTACGCAAACGAACACCACACTAATGATACAAAATATAGATGATAGATAGTTACATGAGAGGAAATTCCTAAATTATTTTAATATATAAGGTACTATAATATTACGTCATACAATAATAGACTTCTATGGGTATTTTGTCCTCAATAGAGATAGTATTAGGAAAATAGTCGACTATACAGGTACTGTTAAACTGACGCGGTCGCGCGAACCTGCGGTGCGATTTGTTAATTACTGTGACAGCTGACTAGCGCTCGTAATGGAACGATTCGTTAGATAAATTAATATAATAATAACAATTTTGAAGATGGAGAATTTTTTAATGTATGTGTAGGTTAAGGACATTTGAATTGTCGCGTCAGTCAGCTTTGTTTGTATAGTGTCGTGTCGCGGGATGTCGCGCGTCTTGTATCGCGTCAGTGTGACCTTACCTTAACTGTTCTGTCACTTGTATCACGAATTCATTGCCACTTGATACTTTTAAGATTTATGCACTATGCTATGATATACAAATATATATAAATATAATAATAATACTCGTATTGTCTGTTCTAAGTCATAATAGCTCAATAATTTATGAACTTCGTATTGTAATAAATAGTTGTAAGCAATTATAATAATGTACTAGGAAAATGCAAAGTTTAGTGTAAGGCGAAATAATATACATAATAAAAAAATAAATAATTTAGACCTTAAGGTTTAGGTTGTAAGTCCCATTTTGTAATGTTAATTAAAAATAAAAAAATCAAGCACAACCATTACCATTATGAATACACTCATGACTTCTTACTGCTAACATTGAAATGTATTATAAATATGAACTATAAATATTAAATGTTATGCGTTAATAATAAACTTGGGCGTTTTATTAATTAATCTCAATTATATACCATATATTAAATAATTATAAATTTTTATCTAAATAAAAGACTATAAACATATTCCAAATATGGCCGCGGCTCTATGATAAAGGCGGGTGCATTAACCTTAAACTTCTGGTGTGGGTTCGAAACCTGGCTATTACCAATGTGACTTTTATTGAGGTATAATTTTTATTATATGCATGAAATGGATAATGCGCTTTGAGCAAGCGTGGTGATTAATGCTCAAACCTACTCCGTGGGAATAGAGTCTTCTGCTTAGCAATGGCCACTTATAAGCTGATAATGCGACTTAAGATATTTATTCGAAACTACAACTCATCCCTTAATGACTAAGCGATCCTAAACAGAACTCCTTCGGATAAGGTTGAGTTCGACCCTAGAACTCAAATAATACTATGAAGTCAGCTAAACATCCACCCAGAATCAGAATCAGAATAAAATTTATTTTCCTACTTTGTGTATTACCTACAAGATGTCTCTGTGACCGGTGAGCCACTCGGAGGTGAGTCAGCTAACTTATGTTCACCATCCAGCCAGGGTTAAGGGTTTAAGCCCAATAATATACGCGGTTGGTGGTTTTTATTCAGTTACAATCTAACACTTTTTCCCCACCCGGAAAGGGTAAATCCAGTATATAATTTCCACCCCTCAAAAAAGATAAAACAACACCTTTTTATAATCTATAAAATAGTAAGTAGGTATATTAAGTTTCCACGTCGACTAACCACTTACAAAACAAATCTTAAATCATAATTTAAGAAAGCAAACAACACATTATAATTTCCAAAACAATTTATTCTACCCAAAATGACTGCTGAATAAGGCCCAGGGATTTAAAGCTGTGTCCACTTTGGGGGATGGGGCATTATAGTATCCTTTGACCAAGTCTACTAGGGATATTGGACAGGAGAAGTTATCGCAACTGGAGAGTATGCTGCCTAGTCTGTGGGCTGCGTCATAAGCTGCTTGCTCCATTGGCTCTGACGCCAGTACCTTAGTCATCGGTAAACTAAAATAGAAAGAAAATTTTAATTAATTGTAACGGAATAAGATCTAATTTACAATGTCTGGATAAACTGTATGTATCAGATAAATTTGAATATAGAACGTAATTTAAATGAACTTTTAGGTTTAGTTTTGAATAACACAAGCAGAGAATTGAATGTGCCACCAGTGCGACTGTTAGGCCGATTCCAAAGTCGTTTAATCTATTTTTAGCCTTAAAATGTCGACCTCTGCTTGGTCTTTTTCAGTTGAAAAGGTCTAATGATATCCTACTCATATTTTGAATGCAAAAGTTTGTAAGTATGACTGAACTGAATTAAAACTAACGCATAAATCTAAATGAAAATTGGCACACAGAGATTTATTCTGAATAACACGTAGGTGACGGTGGACGAAGCCGCTGGCAAAAGCTATAGTATTATATGTACAGCTATAGTAATTGCAAGAGCAAGCCCACAGTTCAGCAGGCAGGCTGGTCGAGATCCCCAGATTAAAGGTAGCAATATAGGGATTCTCGATTGCTTACTTTATAACATGAACTTTGGGATTGTGCCAAGTTTTTGAAAATTGGCTTACAACACTTAATAAACCTGCAATGGGATGGCGAATATTAACTGAAAATCGAAAAGAGATGAGAAGGAAGAACTTAAATACTGTGCTATGTGGCTATTAGTGTAAGTATTATGAGATTACTGGAGATCCAAATATTCTCCTCTACCCCAATTTCCCTTGTCCTCCTAAAAGGCCAGACACGCACTTGCAACTCCACGTATTGCGGATCTTACCATCATGTGATTATGCAATGGATGGCAAAGCTTTTTTCTTAGAGGAATATTCATCGTTGCTTTTGATAGTCATAAAAAAGCAGGTGATGGGAGATCACAGGTTATACGGGTGCAGTATACTGGAAAGGGCCGTTGTTCTAAATAGTAGTTGACTCACATGACAAGACGACATCCATAGAAAAAATATTGGTAACCAGCTTTTGCCCGCGACGTCGTTTGCGTGGAATAGTGACTTTTTGCATATTTTTGGTTTTACCCACATAGTTCCTGATGTTTTTGATTTAGTTGATTTTTGACAAGTTCCTGCTCGCGGGGTTTTCTGTATAAAAACTATCCTATGTGCTTTCTCGAGTTCCAAACTATGTCTATACCAAATTTCACACAAATCGGGTGAGTAGCTTAGGGGTGAAGAAAAGGCAGAGAGACAGACAGAGTTAATTTCACATTTATAATATTAGTTTTAATGACAAATCTACAGTAAAATTGCTTGTATAATACAAAAAAAAAACAGCTTTTATTTACGTACGTGAACAATGTCCTGAACATTTCTTCAACCATGTTCTCTCCATGAGGGACGAGCCTCTGAGTCGTTTCACACAAGGTCTTCAGAATGCATTGTCTTCCATTATAACCCATACTGGAAAAAGAGGAATTCAGATATTGAAACTGTTTAGAATCATCTTCTCTAAAAAGTGTGTGGTAAAAGAAAGTCGTAGTATATATATAATATGATTTTTATCTTTTTCTTACTTACGGTTACCGAAAGGCCGACCAATGTTAAAATCAATTTAATCTCTTTGTCTGATTGGTTGACTAAATTATCAACAACCAATCAGACGACTTGACAAGAGATTTAACAGGAGATTAGTTGATTTTAGCGTTGACAAGCCTTTCAGAAACCGGGTGTTAATCTTCGTATTAATATATATTTTTAAATTTACACTCTTTTATCATCGAAATTAGGGAAGGATCTTTTTGGCACCGTTATTACGTAGACTTACTTTTCCATAATCTTCTCCAACTTTTGATACAGCTCTCTTCTACTTCTCCTCTGTGCCATGGGTTTGGATAGCCGATTGTATCTTCTATAGAACTTGCTGGTTTCTGTAGCGTTGGGCAGCTCATATGCTATGCCCCAATTCATGCCCCATGTGAAGGTACCAGGTGCTGAGCTTGGTGCTGGCTGGCCAATCACACCAACTGTCATACAACCGGCACACTGGAAAATGTAAATGATGATTGACCAGTGCTCAAAAGAAAAATAACTTTATAAGCAAATTCGTTCGGTTTATAGTTCTTCGTAGAAAGGATAGAACATAATATAAGGACTCTTTTAAGTCCCTGACAGGATAAGTAGAAGCTAAGACATACAATGTAACACACAATTTTATAGACAACAGTTATTTAATGAGTCTTGTCATATGCGTATAATACGGGGAAGAATTCCTTACCCTCTTTGCCTTTACTAAGAATTTTAAATGTATATCTGATTAGAATATTTTAAACGGTGTTTTGTGTTCTTTTTGTGAAATTTTAAGGTTTTTTTATTTATTTGCCGGAAGAACACTACAGGTGTCTCCAAGCTTTTTGAAGAAAAAGACAAGAGAGTGTGGAATGTTTAACTCTCTGAAACCTCTCCACTCCTCTCCACTCAATGAATGGTATGGTGCTAATGGTGGCCCCATTAGCACCATACCATTCATTAAGTTAGTTTAGGACAACAGGTCTCCTCAGTAGACTAACTCCGGAGTCTCTGCTGTTCAAAGCCTGTCTCGGAAAACCCCTATCGGTGACAATCCAGCTTATGTAAAATTCCTACATCACCGTAGTAAACATATTAAGTAAGTATGTATATGGGGAAAAAACGGAGATCATAAACCGCGAATAAGACATAAAAAACTCCCTAAAAATTTAAGAGAGATAAAATTCCAAAAAGTACGCAATCAACCAAGTTTTATGTCGCCGAGTGATACGTTTCAAGGTTCTGTATTTAATCTATGAGGTACTTAGTAACATATGACTTTGTTTTTTGTACTTTATTAACATTGAATTCAAGTTTGGGAGAGCCATGCTTCGGCACAAATGGGTCGGCTCGACCGGAGTGATACCACGGCCTCACAGAAAACCGGCGTGAAAAACCACATCGTTGTGTTTCGCCGTGTGAGTGAGGTTACCGGAGGTCCAATCCTTCCACTGCCCAAATCCCTGCCCAATCCCTAACACTAGAAAGACCGGAGTGGTCAAATGACCCCAATGAAGTTTTTGATCACTCATATTATCAAAACCATAGCATTGAACTCATTGTTGTTTTATGACTTTTAATATTTCGTCATTGTTTACATTATTCTAATATGTGTATACCGATACCAAGATAAGTACTATTTAAAAATTTATCACCTACCTAGAGAGACCGCAGTGGTCATTTGACACCACTGCGTGCTTGCTTATTATTTTTCGTGGAATATACTTGTGTTATGGTAGTTGAAATAAAATATTTTTTTCTTGTTTTGTTCTTGTCAAAACAAAGACGTATAACGGCTCGCCATAATAATATAATGCCTCATTATCGTTCTCTTCACCCTTCATAAATACTGGAAGTGTTGCGAAATTTACCGGACGATCAATCAGACTGTGAATCGACTGAAGAAGTGAGGCACATTTTGGATTTAGACTCAGAAAGTCAAGAAAGTGTTTACAATATTTAAAAACCTAATTGAACAGCATACATCAATAGTTTGTACGGTCAAAAAAACACGAAGAGATATCCCAGCTACTATAAAAAATGCATGGGCCCTTTGTTTATATGAAACACATATCATCAAGCAAAACCTTCCAAATCAGTTCAAAATAATTCTAGACTTTCTTCACTCTAATGTATTTGTTGATCCAGAGGCAGCAAAAAAGAAGGCGAACACGGTGAAATTTTACAATGCTATGAAATTCAGAGTAGACATTATTGATCAAATGGCCAAGAAATATAGTGTCAAAGCACCTTTTCGTCGTTGTATGTTGGACAAGTGTTTTATAATAATATTTTTGGATTTGATTGCAAGTAATTCTTGGATTTTGTAAAAAAACTATCGAGAAAAAAAAACCGTAGAAAAAAGTTAATTCTTGGCTTGACCAGGGAGTTAGTCGGCCAAGATACCCACTCCCAGGTGACACCATCTCCTTCACAGCCCGATTATAGCATACCCCAAGAGCCAGAAGAAGAACGAAGTGGAAAAAGAGAAAGGTAGAAACAAAACCAATAAATCTTGTATTAGTTGTAAAAAGCCTTGTGTTGTGTGGCTCTTGTAATGTAAGCAATAAGCTAAAATGTCAAAAATGTGCCAAAAATTTTAATTATTTTTATTACCTTATAGATGTTTAATTACTCTTAAGTTCTTTTATTTACTATAAGATGTTAATCTATAACACTTAAAACCATAATACATGAATAAAACATTACAATCCATGAATGAGTCATTTGACCCCTCTTGGTCTTTATAGGTAGTTCAAAATTTCGGTCTTCCTAGTGCTAAATCTTCCAAATCCCTAACCCCCAAAAGATCGGCAACTCACTCGCATCTCCTCTGTTGTTGCGGGTGTCCATGGGCGGAGCTGATTGCTTACCATCAGGTAATCCGTCTGCTCGTTATCCGACCTTTCACATAAAAAAAACATTGATTCTGAGTTAATACTCATAATGTGCAGGGTTTTCGGGTCAAGCACAATTATGTATCGGGGCTCTGGCCTAGAGCAGGAGAAGGAACTATGTGATTCATAGTCAGTAAGAGTCTGATAATTCCTCTTATCCTATCCAGGAATCTAAAGAAGTCATTCAATGTTTTTCTACCTTAAAATATAACGTTACAAAATTAACCCATTTTACTTCTTGTTTATATACACAAACGTATTATAAACTACGTGGATAATTTTATCACTTACCCTGTTGATCGAGTGGTTACAAATGCGTCTACAAAAGAATTCGAAGAAGAGATAGATTAAGTGCAGACGATTAGGATATTTCCGATTTTCAAAAAGAGACTGGAATTCTGCTGTTTATAGACCCAATGGGGCAATTGGATCATCCTATTACACGGGACAATAACATAACTAGTGAGTTTGCCAGGAATTTATATTATGCTTTAAATTTTATATAGTAACGTCTTAAATCAAGAATTATTCTGCATTAGTCTATAATTAACATGAGCTTAATGGCAACAATTAACAATTTGTATGTCATTTTTATATACAATATTTACTTTATATTTAAAACTAGCGGCCCTCCCCCGCTTCTCACGGGTCTAACTATCTCGCTATCATAGTCTCTTTTTCCTAAACTTCCCCTCTACTTTTCTAATATTTCCTTTGATAAGAACCTTCTTCTGACAATAACAAACACAACAAAAAATGAATTAGCAAAATGCGCTTACCAACACATTTTGCGATCCATTTTATATATAAGATAACAAAATGTAAACTTACAGAGAAACTGGAACCTTCAGGGAAGGCTACATATCGTTTTCTTCTTGACAGCAATTTAGAAGCGCACGTTTCACTATAAAACCATGTCAGAAGCAATAGTAACAAAAATGATTTATTCATTTTTTTTTTTTTTAATACTTGTATACAACTTTGTTCCTTGGTTAGAAGCACATAAGTAATAAAGCGGTCCGTTAAACCATCTTAAGATAACGGTTCCAATAATTTTCAACTCCTACGATCTAAGTGTAGGAACACGAACTGACACACTGGACTAAATGTTTTGTCATGTTTAACTGACAATTTGAAATTCCATTTTCGAAATGAAATTTATTTTTTTATAATGTTGATGGTCGCTGGACCAAATTTTGTTTAAATAATTAATATTAATATTATAAATGAAATAAATAAGGTAGGATTTGAATTGTGCAAAATAAAAACGTAGATAATAGGCGGCATACTATCACCTCTCTTGTTTTCCATTTTTATCAATCTTATCACTTCTGACCTTCGGTGTGCGTACCATCTGTATGCAGATGACTTGCAGCTATACTGTCAGGCTGGCTTAGACAGCTTGCCCAATGCCATCTCAAAACTAAACGATGATTTAACTACCATCAAGAACTGGTCTGTACGGTTTGGCATTGCGGTAAACCCGAACAAGTGCCAAGCTATCGTCATCGGTAGCTCTCGATCTCTTGGTAGGGTTGACAGTGCATCTCTGCCAGCTGTCCTTTTCGATGGTGCGATCGTTCCTTACAGCAGTGACGTTAAAGACCTAGGCTTACACATTGACAAGAATTTAAACTGGAATACACAAGTCACTAGCGTGTGCAAAACAGTGACCGGTTCGCTGCGGGCCCTTTATCGCGTGAAAAACTTGCTTCCGTCCGTCACCAAGTCGATGCTTGTGCAGGCCTTGTTGTTCCCTATAATAGATTATGCTGATGTTTGTTACTATGACCTGAATGCAGATCTCCTCAATAAACTTGACCGACTTCTGAATAACTGCATTCGTTTCGTTTTCAACCTGCGCAAATATGATCATGTTTCTGCACATCGGTTGCAATTAAAGTGGTTGCCCATTCGCCAGCGCAGGGAGCAAAGGGCGCTTACCACTCTATTTTCCTTTCTCAACTCACCTTGCCTACCTACCTATCTGTCCCCTTATTTCCAATACACCTGCGCAAACCATAGTAAATATCTTCGCTCATCTAATAATCGTCTCCTCAACTGTCCAACTCATCACTCAAAATTTCTTCACTCCTCCTTTTTTGTTCAGTCTATTCTTCTGTGGAATGCGCTACCCGCCGATGTCAGGACTGTGACTGGTCGGCTGACATTCAAGCAGAGAGTTCGGGAGCTTCTTCTGAGGAGGGTTGGGGAGTCATTGTGATCATCACTACATTTATGTATGTATATATATGTATGTATGTGTTTATATGTGTAAATATATTAAGTAGTATGTATTTTATAAATATATGTATATAAGTATAGTTCTATGTACTTTATGTATGTTTATATAAACCTATGTTATACTACTCTATTTCGCTTGCTTCTTGCATCTACTACTGGATTCTCTGCATCACCCAAAGGTCGACTGGTAGAGAATGCTCAATGCATTAAGTCCGCCTATGTACATACAAATTGTGCATGAAGTATAAATAAATAAATAATACTTTTTTCATTAAATTGAATTATTATAATAATAATAATTCAATTTAATCCAACAGCACGAAACGTAGGGTAGAGGTAGACGGGCAAGTGTTGCAATATGTCGATGAGTATACGTACTTGGGCCAGATAATATCCTTTAAAAATAGGCAAGATAAGGAGGTCAAAAGGCGAATCCAAAATGCTTGGAAGACCTTCTGGGCCTTTAAAGATCACTTAAAGGGTAGCCTTCCAATGACACTGAAACGAAAACTCATCGACATGTGTATCCTGCCCGTCCTAACCTACGGTGCTCAAAGTTGGTCACTTACTGAACAGCAAAAGTCCAAACTCAAGATTTGTCAAAGGGCAATGGAGCGCAGCATTTTAGGTGTTAAGCGATTAGATCGCGTTAGAAACACCACGCTGCGCTCCATAACTCAAATAGCAGATGTCGGAGAAAAAACAGCCAGGCTGAAGTGGGAGTGGGCTGGCCACGTCGCACGAATGCACTCGGACAGATGGGCGAAGATTGTCACTCACTGGACACCAGAAGGAGGTCGACGCCGTCGAGGTCGACCACGGCGAAGGTGGTGTGACGATCTGATCATGTACGCGGGGCAAACTTGGCCGGAGATCGCTCTAGACAGAGAAATTTGGAAGGAAAAAGGGGAGGCCTTTGCCCAGCAGTGGGACACACGATAGGCTATAATAAAAAAAAAAAAAAAATTATAATAATAGAAATACAATACATTTGCAATAGGCACGCCTATAAGGTGCGTAAAAATGTAGATACAAATCACTTGTAGTATACATATAAATATAAATTAAGGCAACTCTCTGCTTAGTGCAGATACAATACACAAATAAATAAAAATACAATACAAGGTCTAAAATTTTCGGCGGCCAAATATGAAAAGTTGATTAATTATTTCACAGTGGAACACATTGAATACCTTTTAAAATTGGTTATAGAAGGTCGATTCATTTACTTGTTAACGCGGGTTTCTGTCAAAATTGGGAATCAATTATACCCAAAAGTTATTCGCGAGTAAATGCTTTTAACCCTTCATCATATCTCTTTTAGTCCATTGTTGGATTATATTTGGAAAATGATTGGTTAAAATTCTTTTTAATTTTGTTCCAATGTTTTAATATTGACAAGTTAAAAATACGTCAGGATAAATATGAAATTAAAAATATTAAATACATAAGTAAAAAAAAACTTAATTTAAAATGTTAAATACAAATACAAAAAAGGTTTTATTATCAGTATAAAATCAAAATAAGTAATGTATTTAATAAAAAAACTCCAGTGTTCTTAATTTAAATTTTAAATAATAAATTTGTAATTATTATTCGTTATCATTTCTCTCCTTATAAGAATTTGAATGTCATAAGAAGTGAAATGCATACAAATAAAACAAGAGGGAAAAAAACATGAAGTAACTAAGCAAACCTGGCGTTAATACTCGTTTCCCATTTTAGAAAATAATGAATAACATTCTCAAATCAAAAACTAAGTGTAAGTCCAAATCTCCCATTTAATCTTAAGCCTTAAGATAAAAAGCATTCTTCTTTAACCAAATAAATGTTATAAAATCCAACGTCTTATACTTTCCATCCAATACCATCTAAAATAAATACTATCCAAAATTACTGCTAAACAACGCCCAAGGATTTCTTCCGACATCAACTTTTGGCGCAGGGGCATTGTAATAACCTTTGATTAAGTCAACCAATGAGATGGGACATTTGAACCTATCGCAGGAATCGACGATACGGCCCAGGCGGTGAGCGGCGTCGTATATGGCATGTTCCAAAGGTTCTGTTGGTAGAACTTTCGCTGGTGGCATACTGTCAAAAAAGAAAATTTAAGTCAACTCCTATAGTCCTAAAGTTGATTATCTAAAGCATAAATTGCATTGAGAGATATCATTGTACATATATTACACTAACGGTAAAACGGGGTGAATAGAATTCGAGGGGTGAATAATAAGACACTAAAGAGGGGTCAGTAGATACTAGGAAAAATCGCGAACATCCATTCAACACTTTCGTATATCTATTCACCCCTCAAATGTTATTCACCTGTTTAACTTAAAGAAGAAAATATGAAGAGACTACATAAAGTGGACTAGCCTTCAAGGTTTAACTAGATACTAATCGACAAAAATGACTGTCAAAATAATCATCCCGAGAGACCGATAACCAATCCCGTTCCCCCTTACACTGACTATATACCTTAGTATACTAGCTTCCGTCCACGGCTTCACACACGTATAAAAAGTCCAGGAATTTGAAAACAGCAGAGTTTAAAGCGATAGCTCGACAAAATACGCACTTAGGAACATTGTAGCTATCTGTCGGTGAATTTCACAGAATTTTGGAAATTCGACCAGGCAGCGGTTCCAAAGATTAACCCCTCCAAAAAGCTTACAAATTTAACCATTTTATAATATTAGTATTAGATAATGGAAATAATAATATAATTATGTTTTTTCTGGCTTATGATGGCGGATCCTAACTCAATTTAAACATCCTTTTTTTGTTTTTTATATTTTTCTAAAGCATCATAAGCCTTGAGACGCGAACTGCTAAGCAAAATCAGCGATCATATTATCACTGTTTTATGTTATGGGAACTTCGATATCCGAAAGAATGAATACATTAAAGAAAATACACTCACGTGAATAAAGTTCTGAACATCTCTTCGACTACGTTGTCTCCATGTGGCACTAATCTTTGTGTGGTCTCACAGAGGGTCTTCAAAATACATTCTCTCCCGCTGTATCCCATACTGGAATATTTAAACACTTTATAAGAACAACTCAGACAGTATGAAAGTTAATTATAAAATACTTCTGTTACTACGTTAATGCGGGTAAAAATTGTACTAGGTCTGTGATACTGATGAAACATATAACACATAGCAAAGCATCAAAATTATTTTTTAATAACAAGATTCTCAGCACTAATGTTACATTGCCAAGAACTAGTTCAAAGTTGCAGTTTTCTTAATAAATTATATTTTTAAAACAACTTACTTATCTAATATAGTCTCCAATTTTCCATACAATTCTCTTCTATTGATTCTCTTCTGTAAATGCTGCCTTTTATAATATTTTTTCTGTAAGAAGTATATAGTAGCTTCTGTCACGTTGGGTAACTCATAGGCTATCGCCCAGTTAAGACTGAAGGTGAAGGTGCCAGGACTTGATGATGGTGCCGGTTGACCAATCAGACCGACGGTTACACAACCAGCGCACTGCAAAGAACAGAGAGATTTGAAAACTTCTGACCAAAAAAAATGGGAATTCTGGTGTGAAGGTCTTGAATGCAACATTAAGTTGATAGTACCTACAATATGTAAATATAAATATGACACTAGGTGCATTTGAATTTTTTTTATTAAATGTATATAATAGGTTGAAAACGTTGTCCAAGTAAGCGAGAAGAAAAATACTCAGAAACCGACCCCGAGATGCATGAAGTGGAATAAAGCAAACGTCAGAAAAAGTACAAAAATAGGCAAGAATTTGAGTTAAAATTTCAGTTTGTTGGATAACATTAAACGTGGAAGGATCTCTGATCCTTTTTCAGATTTCCATTTAATACGAAAGTGAAAGTTTTCTTTTTAAAATTTAAGAAAATAATATGATAAGAGAAGGATAATAGATTTCTAATATTTTTCAAAAAAGTACTCACCGAAAAACTGGAACCTTCTGGAAAAGCGACATACCGCTTCCTTCTCGACAAAATCTTAGAAACATCTCTGGACTCAGACAGCGCACTAAATTGCACACAACTTAATAATACCACAAGCAATACATGTAAATTTAAATCCATCGTAAAAACAAAAAAAAAAAAAAAAACAAAAACAAAAATATAACAAAAAAATTAACGTTCGAAATTCAGAATTCGAATTTAGAGGCGACCATTTTTACTATTCACAAAAGCAGTCTAATAAAAACAACTGACATCTGTCACTTCACAGATAAAACAATGAAATGAAGTTCAATTATGTTTAACGGGAAACGTGTGGGTCGCTATTGTTCAAATATTTATAACTGTATCGTTTCATATGTCGCTAAAAGACATCATTTTTTTTGTTCTACATTGAAAAGAAAGTGTCTATTTAGTTGTATTAGCATGTTTGAATCATTTAGCTTTGTTTCTCGTTCTTTGAACACATATAGTGACTATATTGGGGTTAAGAAAGTGTTATCACATTTAAACACAATATTTAAACGACATCCAATAGTTTTACACAGAAATTCAAATAAAGCTACTGTCGATTACTCTTTAAAACTTCGTCAAAACTTAAATAACGCAGAATTGTTTTTTCTTCATCATCATCATCATGAACTGCTATAGCTAGTCCACTACAGTACAGAAAGTTCTCTAACACGATAATGCATGAAAATGAGGGAATAAGAATCAAGCGTTTCTCATAAAGTTTCCCTGTGAGTTTCTTTTTTTTATGTAATAATAGGTCGGCAAACGAGCAGACGGATTACCTGATGGCAAGCAATCAGCGCCACCCATGGACACTCGCAACGGAGGAGTAACGAGTGCGTTGCCGACCTTTTAGGGATTAGGGATTTGGAGATTTAGGGATTGAGGAGGAATTGGGGAAGGGGAAGGATTGGGCCTCCGGTAACCTCAATCACACGGCGAAACACAACGCAGTGGTTATTTCACGCCGGTTTTCTGTGAGGCCGTGGTATCACTCCGATCGAGCCGACCCATTCGTGCCGAAGCATGGCTCTCCCACACTTAAGTTAAGTTTCTTATGATAAAACATTAAATAATAGCCAAATATACAAAAGTTCTTCAAAGCAATTCTTTAATTACTTTAAAAATAATATCGCCCTTAAAAATTCGACCCAAACATTTTAAGTTTAATCCTTCTCAATATTTCGGCTTCAAAATAATCATTCTAACCACAAAAGTGGGCTTAGGGTAAAAAGAAGCAGTTTGCATTTTATTTCGAGGGTAAAAAACTCGACTCGATGACGGATAGCTGACATTCCATTAGGCGCGTAACGCGACAGAGGACGGAATATGGTAGCGCCATTACCCCAAATCCGTTGGTATACAAATCATGTGACTCCATTGCGTTCGTGGGCTCAATCGATGACGTGTCCTTATTTGCTATGTTTACTTATATGCACTGTTATTTAGTATAGATTGCACGTTTGGCTCCGGCGCGTCGATCAATAAGTTAATGGTTTTTTCTTATTAAAATAAAAGAACCCTTGATGCCAGGAACCTCGTCAATGTATCAGCTTCATACCTAAGAAAACAAGATAAGCCATTGGTTCTGTGCTGTCTTTTCTTCGGTGATGCTTTCCAATCCTGGGCCTTCCTATAGGATTCAGAGAGTGAGAGAACCGCGCGATATCTTCTGTTAGCAGGATATTCTACAAGCTCTGTAATACACCATGGTCTAAATTCATGGGGAGGCTTTAATTATTTGATTTAATGAATGAGTTAGTCAAAAAAATTTTTGATTCCTGAAGTTATAACTTTTATTTTTACTTCCAGAGCTTTTCAGTGCTAATGATATACTTTCGTTTATTGCTGTTGCTGACCATGAGTATTTATTAAAGAATTTGGTAAACTCTTGACATGGTTTTTAAAATACTGTTAATGTTATTTATGTAGCTTATATGCGATACAAATATATAAATATTTGTTTCAAGCTTCAATTTTATAGTGTCTATGTATATCTTATGTATCAATTGAACTTAATGTTAATTTGTTTCTTGTTTCTCTTAATTTTCTTCTGGGACACTGTATCCTTGCTTTGAACCGACCGCTTGATTTCTATGCGCCACCCTATGGTTAACTGTTAGAGAATGGCTTAAGAGATTAAGTCCACCATTCATCATTATCATCATCATTGTTTTGTGTGAAGAATAAATAAATAAATAACTGAATAGTGATCAGATTTTTACGTGGTAATTCAGGTAAATTGCTTCCATTCACCCTGTTTCATATTATTTTTTAAATATTTAAATAAAATAAATATTTGTAATGTTTAATGTTAAATATTTGTAGAAGTCCAGGGAAGGTTTAAAAGGTCAAATAATATTGAGGCGGAACGATATTTGCTGGATTAGCTGGTACCAGATAAATAAAATATCTAGTTTAGCAGTGTGTGATTCTATATTTATTTATTTTAATACTTTTTGTAACACATAACATACCACGTGGGAGAGCCAAGCTTCGGCACGAATAGGTCGGCTCGACCGAAGTGATACCACGGCCTCACAGAATACCGGCGTGAGAAAACCACAACATTGTGTTTCGCCGTGTGAGTGAGGTTACAGGAGGCCCATTCCCGCCCCTTCCCCTATCCCTTCCCGATCCTTATATCCGCAAACCCTATCCCCAAAAGGCCGGCGACGCACTCGTAACTCCTTTGGTGTTGCGGGTGTCCATGGGCGGCACCGATTGCTTACCATCAGGTAATCCCACTGTTCGATTGCCGACATATACAATTAAAAAAAATACAAGAGCGGACTTAATGTCGCAAGGCATTCTGTACCAGTCAATCGTAGGATGATGCAGAGAACTGTGCTACAATAGATAGTTAACAAGTGTCACGCAAGTTATTAATACTATGTAGGTACTCGTTTTCTCATAAAATTTATGGTGCTTCATACCTACCAACTTACTATAGTATGTATCTATAATATTTATTATACTACCATATACCAAATATTAAAACCGCAATAACAAAATTATATAGCGAAAAATCGTCAGCAAATCCCCCGAGAACCCGTTTTCACCTCCTTATCCTTACGATGTCAGCGTTCAAAAGATTTATGAAAACATACATCACTTGGGCGACTGACCTTCCCCTACTAATGGGTGATGAACGCTGCTAACAACCATCGCTATTATTTGGGTACAATAGACCAATGGACTTCGACAAAAAGTTGACAAATTCCGAGAGTGTAGGGCAAATGAGGTCATCGGTTTTTCTCCAGTTTGTTTGTTGAGTTTGATAGTGGAGATTTCTTTTATTTCCTTTTTATCTTGTATTTTTAAGTAAAGTAAGCTAAAAATAAATCGAGTATTTTTTATTATTAAGATATTTAAAAATGTAACGTATATGTAGTATATGTTAAATAAAGAGAAATGAATATGGACTTTTTTTGTCAAGGGAAAATCATCCAATGACTTCTCCCGCCCAAGGGCAAGCGGGAGGGAGTGTCAGGCTCTTACTGACTGAAAACCCCCCTGTTCCTTCTCCTGCTCTGGGCCGAGGTCGCGGTGCCTCATTGCGCTTACCCCGCAACCCCGGCTGAAATGAATATTGACTAAATTCACAAAAACATACACAATATCATGTATTGTATTTTATTGGAGGAATCTCATCTACCTAAAAACGTTATTGACTTTTTCGTCGTTATGTAAGCAGTCCAGGTATCATACAGTGGGCGGGTACGGCGAATTAAGTTTGGTCACCTCCGATCATGCCCAAGCCCAATGTACGGATTGTAACGTCCCATGCGCACACCCAAGAGCCAGCAAACCACCACAGATGGGTCCTAATATGATTAACAGGATTGCGGATCAAGCGCAGTAAGTAGGAGTCTGAGACTCTTTACTTTCGTCTCAACACGGGCGAGAAAACTTGTTTAATGATTTTCCCGTCACAAAAAACGGTATTATATACCGTTTCATTTTCTAAATAAAATATCAAGTAGATTGATCTCCAAAAATAATATTATTCTGTAATTAAATGTTCAAGTTCAATAATCACCAAACAAAACTGGAGTGATACCACGGCCTCACAGAAAACCGACGTGAAACAACCACAGCGTTGTGTTTCGCCGCGTGAGTGAGGTTACCGGAGGCCCAATCCTTCCCCTCCCCCAATCCCTCCTCAATCCCTAAATCTCCAAATCCCTAATCCCTAAAAGGTCGGCAACGCACTCGTAACTCCTCCGTTGCGGGTGTCCATGGGCGGCGCTGATTGCTTACCATCAGGTAATTCGTTTCATGCTCATTTGCCGACCTATCACATAAAAAAAATAACTAAAACATATTCCTCTTCGGCATTCTACTTAACTTTAAAACGAAAATTTTACTAACTGAAAATACTATAGTAAACTGTTGACAATAACAATTTGGAATGAGTTAAAACAAATGGTAGGGAACATAAAAGCTAGAAATGTGTAAGGCGATAACCGTTTTCGGGGTGCTTGCACTAAAAAGCATTCAGCAATCGGTAAGAACACAGTACGAGCTAAGCTGGAGCTGAACTTATGTTTTACTAGCATTTAAACTATGTTTTGTTGTACAGTCTGTCCTGGTGATCTTTGAATTATTGAAACAGGACCAATTTTAGTCTTCGAGTTTAGTTTTTAGTTGATAGTGTGTGTTAAAATAAATGTGGTTTCATAAATGAAAAAATGATGATGAAAAAAAAAATGAGATGTTAATGGCCCATGGTTATCTGACGATAATATATTTTTGTTTCGTTTTGGGTTTTTTTTTGCCTGGGGATGATGATGACTTCTCCCGCCCAGGTTAAGGCGAAAGAGAGTGTCAGACTCTTACTGACTAAAAACCCCCACGTTCCTTCTCCTGCTCTGTTGGCTCTTTCGCTCTACGCTGTATGCACGGAAATACCTTCAAAGTTTGATCTTCTTCAAGTATAACGTAGAAGGTTATTTATTCTCCAAAACAGAAGAGGTTTACTCATCAATGTAGTAGAATCAATTACGTAATTACTGAAATACATATAAGACATTTAGTGGTTTTTAAACATTTTTTTAACTGAATAGGGCGGCTAACGTACTTACGATTTGTTTGATAATAAGCAATCGGTGCCTGTCATTATTTAATGATTGAGGGAATTGGGGACGGAGGGAAGTCGAGACATTTTGTCACCTTACTGCAATAACCCAAGCATTGTTGGACGCCGGTTTTCTGTAAGACCGTGGTATCAATCCGGTAGAGTCGGTTTATTCGTGTCGTAAATCCGGAATTCCTACTTGAACCATGCATAAGGGGTATTATTATATTTATGTGTGGGAGAGCCATGCTTCGGCACGAATGGGTCAGCTCGATACCACGGCCTCACAGAAAACCGGCGTGAAACAACCACAGCGTTGTGTTTGGCCGTGTGAGTGAGGTTACCGGAGTCCCAATTCTTCCCCTCCCTCAATCCCTTAATCTTCAAATCCCTAATCCCTAAAAGGTCGGCAACTCACTTCTCACTTAACCACGGGCGGCGCGTTAGTCCAAAAAAAAAAATCGGCGAAATGTTTGTACAAAAATGTGAAAATATTTGCGCTTTCAATTTTCTAATACACACGTGGAATAATAAATAGGTAATTATAATATAGAACGAATGGGTGATCGATACCTAATGCAAATGTGTGTACCGCGTTATGGAATATGATCGATCTTAATGGATCCCTCGTTCTGAAGGGCTGCAACCCTTTGCTGTATGGTGCAAGTTTAAATGGGGTATATATTTTAATTTCATTACTTTGACATTAATCTCAGGGTAATTTCTTTTTATTACAGAAGTTTACAGATACAGTTAACAAATATACATATTATTAACTTATTTTTTTCTCCATTTGGCCATAATATATGAAATCCCTTTTTGCCCAATCCTCAATCTCCAACTCTCTAATCCCTGCACAGCTGGCACCACACTTTTTGGATTCAGTTCGGTCCGTCTTTGATGGTGTAATCATTTCATACATCTAGTGGTTGGCCGGTAAAGCTATAATAATACATTCTCTTCTTTAGTAAATATGTCAATTAAAGGGGTCCTTGCCGTCGTTTTAGTATTCGATTCCAACAATCTCCATGCCAGCCTACGCATCGATTCAATTGTTTTTTTTATTTCCCTTATGCTCAGTTTTCTTATGGTTCTGTTTTTTTGTTCTAAAGCATTGGCTATCATATAGTTTCACAAAATAATGTATTACTTTCTAAGTTTCAAGCGTAGAGATCTATTTTTTTAACAACGTTATTGAAAGCGATGCGAGGTCACTCTAATTTTGTCAAAACATCTATTAATATATGAAATTCTAAACTAAGTACAACCTATCAGTTTAAAGAAAGAAAATTTTAAACTCTATCAACTTATGTTATACACCATAATCGCTTAACCGACTTTATATCCCATCGAATAACGACATCAAGGTAATTTAATAATCGCACTTGAGGAAAGTGACTGATATCGGCGACATTTATTTTAGTTTTTATGTTTGCGTGTATGTGTATGTATACTGTGAAATACTTTTTTAAACGAATTATTAATAATTCGATAAAACATTATATAGAAATATGAATATTTCTATTGATCCAGTACTTAATAAATATGAATGAGAAATAATTTTATAGTAGTCATGAATGAAAGTACTTTAAACTTTATAAATCATAGTATAAGTTAAATTTTGTTATTTTGTCATATTATTATAAGTTGATTTTATTATTTTGTAATGTAAGTTAATTTTATTATTTCGTAATTTGCTGTGCCCGACAGGGTCCATAATGATCTTAATACTGATACACATATAATAACACCTAATGTAACATTATGGAATGCAATAAACATTTGAATTTGAATTTGAATTACTTTTTTTATTTTTTACTGGATGAATTAGAGTTGTCAAATTCAACGGCCGAGTAAAGGGTTCCAGTTTCACCTCATGTCAAGTAGAGCCATGTCAGGAATTTTCGGCCTTTCGAAAGTTTCTAAGTATTAATAGTCAAATATCCTTAGGGACCAATTACGGGAATCCCATAGATCGCAACATCGACAAAATCTCTCGTGTAAAATGTTATATTAAGTATTCTATTCTAGTTTTAGTTTTAATAGTTTTTATATAAACTTATTTAGTTACTTAGTCATGATCTCACGTTGTTCTCACAAAAAAATTTATATGTTATTAGTAGTGGGTATTTTTATGAATGTTGTCATTTTTTTCATCTTCTTATATTTTATTACAGTTTTGATTTATGTATATATGTAGATACATGTTACTCATTTAATGAAGTCCCTGGTATTTCCAATATTCACCCGCAACCTTGGCTGTTGATCAATAATAGGATCCTGTATACCTAAAGTCAGTAGGACATATTTCGACTGATAGAAAGCATTTTTTTGCATTATCCTTTTGAGACTTAATAGGTGTGATTTTATGTTAAAATAAGTATTAAAAATGAGTGTTTGATATATTTTTTAATTAGTTAGCATTGACCCGCGTGGAATATTATTAAAAATTAGCCTGTGTGTTAATTCAGGGTAGGTACCTATCACCTATTTACTTACACACTCATTAAATCGGTTAGGCCGTTTTTGCGTGTAAAAATAACAAATAAACATCCATACATTGTTACATCTTTCAAATTTATAATATTAGTAGCTATCTATTATTACCATCTATATCGATTTTCAATGCAAAAAGGATTGGACCTCCGGTAGCCTTACTCACACGGCGAAACACAACGCTGTAGTTGTTTCATGCCGGTTTGCTGTGAGGCCGTGACATCAGTCCGGTCGAGCCGAAGCATGGCTCTCCCACACTTAAGCTTGTCGATTTTGTTTAATTATTTATCGAGCATCCGATCTGCACAGCCAGCTTATGAAGAAATAAAAGGAAAATAGTAATACCAAAAATAAAACTACAAAATAAATATTTCATAACTTCTCACTTTATTAGCCCACCGCTATCTATGTCGATTTAAATCCAAAATAAAGCTGAGGATAGACAGCGGGCAGTCATTCGCTTTCATACAGAAGTCTGGTTCTAATAACTCATTGTATGTCAAGCCCATTTCTTCGACAAACTCCCTTTCTTCCAAGGGTGCTCTGAAATGGAAATAATTTATTATTTTTTTGGAAATAGTGTGTACTCCACCTTAAAGTTACTTGGTGGGTTACGACTGGTTAACATAAACTTGTGTGACTGTAGAGAAATCCGGGAAACAGATTACAATAACATGTTTTTTTTATATAGTGTACAAAATGTATATTTATTAATTTGTTGACACATGAATGATCGAAATATAAATGAACAAAATATATTTATAGAGCAAACATATTTTGTTTCTAATGCTATTAAGATTATCAATAGGTACTGGACTTAGCAAGGTAGTCTAATTTCCATAAAATAAAATAAAATACTCTTTCGTTTTAATAATGCGTCATCAATAATGGAGGTATATAAAAGTAATAAAATATTTATCAGAGGGGGGGGGGGTCACAGTATTTCCTGAGCCATCATGTCTTCTAGTCCATGGCCACCCATAACCTTATCAACTTTTACCACACTTAACAATGGTTCTATATCAACCGATGATTGTCCTTAGGTGAACTTCCATATTCATGGACAACAGCCGGCTGATGTCCCATCACATTTAGATTCTCATCATTAGCCTATAAGTGCCCACTGCTGAGCAAAGGCCTCTTCTCATACGGAGAAGGTTAGAGCATTAATCACCACGCTTGCTCAATGCGGGTTGGCGATTTCAAACTTATAATTAAAAATTATAAGTCCAGGTTTCCTCACGATGTTTACCTTCACCGTATGTCAGTGGTATCTAAATAATTATAGAAAGTACTTATAACTCGGAAAAAGTCACATTGGTACTTGCCAGGTTTCGAACCCACACGCTCATGCATGAGAAGCGGGATCCTTAACCTCCGAGCCACCACGACATCATTTTTACACACATTTAGATTAAAATTGTTCAACTGGCTTCTGCAAGTTGGCTTTGGCCTATCGTACGCTTTCCAAAAGTTCAGAAACCTATGGTCCCGTGAATGGAAAAAAACATAAGAAAACTTAACTCCAAATGTATTGAAACCTTCTGATACTTCAGTTTGCGTCAAGGTGTCAACGTAATTGGTTGTGTTGTACGACCTCGGCCGGTCATCTAAAACTACCCGCAATGCCATTAAAAAAGTGCTTTAAGTGCAAAAAAAACATTACCAAAAAAATACCCGGACTAGAGTGCAGCAGATGCGAGAAGATAGTACATGCAGATCCTTCGTGTTCTCAACTATCTAATAAACAGATAAACACCCTTCGAAATTCTACCAGTATTGAATGGAGCTGTGAAGATTGCATGAAAAACCTATCTCGTAGATCATCATTTTTAATTCCTGAGGACGAAGGTGATGAAAATGAATCCATCACAGATTCTCCCATCATAACACAGCCCCTTGATACGAGGAAATTAGTTCAAGATATAAGCAGAGAGGTGAAGAAAACATTTCGCGAAGAGATAAGCAGCCTTGAAACTACTTTAGATTTCTATGGGGATCAAATAAAAAACTTAGAATTGGCTATAAAAAGCCAAGACATGAGATCCAAAGACCTTGAACGAAAAAATCAAGATCTCCAAAATAGAAACAAAAATTTAGAGCTAAGAGTTACTATATTGGAGCAAGAAGTGAAGAAGTTTGAACAAAAATCTCTTTCATCTACCTTGGAAATCGCTGGTTTACCTGAAACTACTCTCGAAAGTCTTGGTGAGACTATAGAAGTTATTGCTCATAAACTGGACATGGATGTTGGAGATATATTATCGTCACGTCGAATTCAAGGATCCAAGGATCGACCGGGTCCTGTTCTTCTGGAGATGAAGACGAAAGTAGTGCAGAAAAAGTGGGTAGAAGCTGGGAAGGCGAAAAGTCTCACCTTAGGAGTGCTGGACTCAAAAGTTCCGAAGGAGAAGGCGGAAAGTCGTGTCTTTATTAGAGAAGCTCTCACTAAACATTTAAAAACCTTATTGTATAATGCTAAACTCAAATTAGGTAAATCTCATCAGTATATATGGTGTAAAGATGGTAATGTCTGTATAAGGAAGAAAGGTAATAGCAAGATACATTACATTCGCTCCATAGAAGACATCGATCTTGCTCTAAAACATGTAAACAAAGATCCCGATTCCTTATAAACAAACCTCGAATTGCACGTATATTGTTTTTTTACTATTCTTGCTAAGTTAACATCTTATTATGGATACTCAAATCATAGAAATATTTGATTGTACTACTATAAGTAATTATTTCCAGCATCTACCGCCTAAAAGCCATTTAAGTTTCTCATGCATCCATGTTAACATAAGATCACTCATTAAAAATTTTACGAAATTACTCCAAATGATCCATAGTAGTCCTCTTCCTATTGACGTTATTGTTATTACGGAAGCTGGCATATCAGATAAAATAGTTAACCTGTATAATATACCTCAATATAACATGTACCCGCAACTACGCACTGATAAAAGAGGCGGTGGCATAATTGTTTACGTTAAAAATCACTTAAAATTTACTTTACTTAAACAAAAAACCTATACTTTTGAAAGTTTGACTGGTATTATTAAATTGAACTCAGAACAGGATGTAGTAGTATGTTCAGTATATAGGCCTCCACACACTAATAAACAGATTTTTGTAAGGGAACTTGGTAACTATATTTCTTCCTTTGATTCGAAACGAAATCTTTTACTGGTGGGTGACACCAATATTGACCTAAAAAACATATCATCTCATAAAGATTTATATCTAGACACACTTAGCGAGCACGGATTGATGTGTGGAATTTCAGAATTTACTCGAATAGAAACAAAACTTAACACTGTCACTAAATCTTGCATTGACCACTTTTTTGCACGATTCCCCACATTAAGTCCGTACTCGGCGGTGTTAGACGTAGTACTGGCTGACCATCGCACTATTATCTTTACCTGCGTTGATGACGTGCCCACCAAACGTATACAGGGTCTTGCAAAAAATACAATTAACTATGAAACATTGAAACTGGAATTGAAAAAAATTAAATGGTTATCGACAAAAGATATGAATAACCCGAGTGAAATTTACAGTTTCATTAAAAATTCACTCCAGACCGCAACCGATATTGCGACCTCCCGTAAGGTTCAAAAATATACTAAAATCTGCAAAACTTCATTACCCTGGATTAACGACGGCGTCAGTCGTCTTTGCATTAAACGTGATGAATTGTTTAGTTCCTGGAAAAAGAGTAACAACGATCCTCAACTAAGGTTACAGTACAATCAAGTTCGAAATAAAATACACAAAATATTAGAATCTAGAAGAAACACATATTATATTAACGAAATTAACAATAACTTTAAAAATACAAAAAAAGTGTACGAAATACTAAATCAGATGCAAGGACGAGTGACGTTGTCTATTGATGAGGCTATATGCAGGGCATTTGAGGCTAATGGTATTACTACTAAAATTATCGCTAATAACTTTGCAACTGAATTTGATAAATCAGTTAAAAATATTGTTTCAAACTGTAGTGTCAAAATATTAGACCACAGAACTCACTGTGAACCAGTAAATTCCAGTTTACGATTTCAAAAAACTTCTGGCAGTAAAGTTTTAGATATAATTAAAAAACTTAATTCTAATAAGGCACCTGGATCCGATAAGATTAAAATATCTGATATTAAAATGATAGGTTCTGATATCTCAAACGCTATTGCCAACTTGATTAACTGTAGTGTAAGTTCGGGATTATATCCAGATGAATTGAAGATAGGATGCGTTAGACCGGTTTATAAAAAGGGTAAACGAGACGACTACGCTAATTATCGCCCTATTACATTGCTTTCTTCTATAGATAAAATTGTTGAAAAATGTGTAAGTCAACAAATCCATAACTTTTATAAAAAACATAAAGTAATCTACTCAAATCAATACGGATTTCAATCGGGCAAAGGAACCACGGACTTATTATCGAAATTTACTGATGAAGTTAATGGAAACCTTAATCAGAAAAAAATAGTATACGCTTTATTTATTGACTTCTCTCGAGCTTTTGACACATTAAATCATAAAAATCTAATACATAAACTAGAAATTAGTGGCATACGTGGCCCTTTGCTGAAATGGTGCGGGAACTACTTGCATAACAGAAAGTTTTCTGTTAAGGTTGGTGAGTCCTTAAGTAAGACAATTGAAGTTACAGAGGGCACAGCACAAGGTTCAGTCTTGGGGCCCTTACACTTTCTGGCCTATGTGAACGATATGAGTAGCTGTATAGAACACAGCACTTGTTACCAGTTTGCAGATGACACTTGTTTAGTAGTAGCTGATAAGGACCCTCAAAGTGCATGTGATCGTTTGCAATCTGATTTCAACTCATTATTAAAGTGGTGCCACGATTCTGGATTAGTACTCAATGCTAATAAAACCAAATTAGTAATAATAAAGTCGCCATATTTAAAATGCTATTATCCTAAAAATATAATTGCTCACGATCATAAATGTTTGCATGACATTCGTACGGGGACATGTAACTGTCCTCGTATAGAGGTAGTAGCTTCTCAAAAATATCTAGGACTTGAGATAGACAACAAATTTAACTGGGGCAAGCACGTTGAGCATATTTGTAATAGGTTAAGGCAATTTTTAGCTAATATTATAATTCTTAAGAACCGAATACCCTTCAAAGTTAAACTTATGTTGTATAATTCCTTAGCTGAATCATATATCCGGTATGGACTAAGCAGTTACGGTAGGACTTTTAAAACTTATCTCAACCAAATATACAAACTGCAACTAAAAATTCTTAAAAATATTGTGTCATCAAATATAAAAAACAAATTCAGGGACAATGATCAAGGATTATTCAAACATTGTAATGTATTACCCGTTCACACGCAATTTAATTATGTGATACTTAAAGAACAATTTTTTAATGACCATTTAAAAAAACTTATCCAACACCCTGTATACACCCGAGCGATTGCTCGAAACCGGCTTTGCACAGTAGGTGCCAACAATACTTACGGCGAGCGCACAACATCTTACCTGGTTCCTCGTTTAATTAATAACATACCCGCAGACATACGAAATGCTATAACAAAAAGTAATATAAAAATTAAACTAAAGTCTTACTTTCTGCAGCTTTTGGAATACTGATATTAGATTGGGAATATAGTTACCAATATCCTAAATGTAATGTCCCTACATATGTAAATAAGTAAATATTCCTTAAACCTAGATCTAACAATCTTGATGTAAACTAGTAGTAGCATTAATTACAAACTTCAGTAGTTTATGAATGCTATGTATACCTATTCATGTTTTTGTTTTTTAAATGGTATTAAAAAAATACGTAATATGACCAGCTGTTCTATACGAAATATGAATAGTTTATGGCCGATTATTCTATGACTACCAATTGTTGAGAAACATCTGCTATCTCCAATACATTTGTCGAATTTTAATGTTTTTTTTTTTTTTAACTTTAGTATAATGTAGTCATGCTTTAGGGTTTTCTAAAGCTGCAACTATGTATATTTATTTATTCCTAAGCAGATTGATGAGGTCAGAATATGACGATGGAATCCTAGGAAAGCCGGAAGACAGTCGAGGGATCTCCTTTATTATTTGCAGAAGTTACCTTGTGTTTGAGCTTGAATGATTCGTATTGGTGAGCACTTTGCATCAAGATTGATCGTGACTGTCATTAGGGGTGTGATGAAGAGAACGAAGAACAGCTCAGGGAACTCCTGAACGGTTCACAGTAACTTCCTCGTATTTGGACTTAATTCATTTATATCGATGGAAACTTTGCACCTGTATGGGTTACAATGAAGTTATGGAGTAAATCTGATGATGGAGCAAGAAGACTGTCGCGGGATCTCTTTGACTATTTGGAGCAATTATGTTGTGCTTGGACTTAATTCATTATATTAAGTAGAACTTTGCAACTAAATGGATTATGTAAGTATATTGAAGGTCTACAGTATATACATATATAGGTATATACATGATGATGGAGACTATTGACAGTCAAGGAAATTCCTCAACGATTTACAACACTCGAAAAAAGAATTCAAGATTATAAAATGGTTGTTAATATTATTTTCTATTCAACTAAATGAAAACAATTTCAACAAAGAAATTTATATTTTACTTTATATATTACTTTATTAATATTAATAAAGTAACTTGGGTGAAAATACTGCCAGAAGGGTTAGTCAATCCTATATTTACACATTTTGATTTACATTGTCATTGGGAATCTGTTCCATATATTATCGCTTATAATATGAAAAAAAAAATTTCTGACACTCAATTTTCATTCAGTTTAGTTCCGTCATTAGTTAATTTATAGTTTTAGATATATATAGATATAGTTTAGATAATTTGGAAGAACTGATAATATAATAATCGAATCCCATTTCTTCTTTAAAAAAAGAACGAAGTTCGATGATAGCAGCCTATAACTACACAAACTTCTTGCTACCTACTGTTACTAGTGGTGGTAGTTAGGTAATGTGTCATTGGAACACTTTCAGGTCTTTTGAACGTTGTGTAATCTCCCGCTGAGCTCATTTATTTGGAAGATTAAGTGTACCTGCACGAAGTTGTAAGAGACTACTAAATATTTAGGACAAAATCCAGGTCCTCCCAAAACACTGCAAGACCCACAAATTATATATAGATATTTAATTCATAATATGAATATAAATATATAATTCCTAATCTTTATATATATTATTCTGTTGTACAGGTGTTGATGTTGTGTGTGAATTGAACTCCTAAACGGCTTAACCGATTTAAATGATTTTTTCTAGGTAAGATTCACAAATCAGCCAGGGAAGGTAGCGCTGATTGCTTGAAAAGGCAAGTGATCTAGGGAACGGCCCTAACGATTTCGCTGAATTTTGATATGTAGGAGTTTTTGGGGAGGGTCCGCTAGAATATATATATAATTCATATCAATGATACCTTTAATAAATATGTGCACCTTTAGGAAACATGGAAAGTTGCCTAAGATTTGTGTGCCTAAGAAGTGAGGATCTACCGACTAAGCAAGGCCACAAGGTCATAATGCTGGGGGGCTACTATCCACCAGTTGTACTGTGGAATTTTCTATTGATGTTAGTCTGCGCGCAAACTTCACTTGCGCGATGTGGGATTTGTGACGTCGTCATATAATTTTTACTGCCTATCTTCTATGTGCGTCACCGCATGCGTATATCGAAGTCAACAAAAGGCAGATATGATATTACAACACCCAAAATTATAAGTTAAAAACAAACTCACTACATTGTTTCTAAATCTTACGTCGAAAACAATTCCCCACTCTGGGTTCTATCCTTAGCAACCCTGACGTGACGTCATCTACCAATTTCCTTCCACAATACTACTTATGAAAGTTTAAAGAGAATTTTAACAATGAGAATCGCCTACACGAGACCTCTCTAAGGAGCCACTATGCAACCCTAAAACTCTCCGGAAACTGCATCTCAAGTATTGCAATTCATTGTCGTTCAGACACGACTGAAAAAGTTACACTCGGAACAAAACCAGCAATGGAATGAATGTTACGCAAAAATCTCAAGTGGTAAATCCCGAATTGTTCCAGTTCCCTGTCTCATGGTATGTAATATTATGACGTAATCCCGCGACGTATAAGGATCACGTATTCGGATTATAAGGCAATTAGCGTGTTGAAAGCATTCAGCAATGACGCGGTGCGGTTATCTTATAGTGGTTATTATCAACGATTTTGAATAATTTATCCATATTTTAAGAGTAAGGCTTTTGTATGTGTGCGTAATATTTGAACGGCTTTCCCGGGGGTGTATTTATTAATATATATAATCATTTATTGTAGCCTTCTATTTCTACTTTTGAAATGCCATTTCATTCCATTTATCTACAAATATTCTTTGAAGAATTAGTAAGTATAACGAATTCAAAATCAAATTCAATTTATTTTTTTCAATTAAACTATTATAAGCACTTTAGAACGTCAAACAAAATAATTCATCACATTTAATACTCAAGACTCGGATCTTAATTCGGTAATACACCCAACTTGTAGAGGTGCTGTCTTTATGCACCTCACTTGGGTCAATTTGTCAATATGAACTCTGAATTGCGTAATTGTTATGCAATAAATATTTTAGTGGCTGTCTTCATCATTTCTTTACGGATAGTAAGGGTATTTTCAGTGTCCTTGAAGTATATAAAGCAACAAGTTCGTCTATTTCATATTACATATTCACATCGAGTAACTATTTTCATTATTACACGAATGAGCATTAAATAAAAATGCTTATGGATTTAAAATCACTAGCATGTTTTTTCAACTTTTTTTCACTTTGAAATTGTATTAATAGTAGCCCCGAAATGACTCTAAATTGGACCCAAACAAACCAAAATTTGTTTTGTTACAATATTTGTGATCATCAATATATGTACTTACGTGAACATAGCTCTTAGTATATCGTGCACCAGGGACTTTCCTTTTGGTGCGAGTCGCATTTTGGCTTCACATATCGTCCTTAGTATGCAAGCTCGTCCATTCATATTGCGTCTAGAATAGAAAACATTTTTTTATAAAAATATGTGGTAAAGAATGTGATGGATAATGCAGATTCTATTGTTTTTCTTAAGTTTCAGCCAGCAATCATCAAAGATCAATGAGGTCTTTTAAGTTAATTTTAAGATTTTCACAAATATTGTGCGACTTGAGATAATTATGCTTATTCTCATGTAAGTAGATTAATTTATTTACATGAAGCAAAATTGTTGCGTTACATGCAAAAAGTTATTATATATTTACTAATATTTATTAGTCGTAAATTAAAAGTTTTTTTTCACCACATAATCTCCATCACCTTTTTCTTGTGAAAGGAGGTTTTTCCTAGCAGCGAGACAGCTAGAGACTAATAAAGTGACGAAAATAAAACTTACTGCTCCAAAACACCTTCTAGAGTCTCCCAGATCTCTTTCTTCTGTCGATGATGCAGCTTTCTTCTCTTGTGGGCACTGATCACCGTGTGGTCTGGCAGCATGTACACTAGTTCAGCTTCTACCACCACGTACCAGCCTGATGGTACATGGGTCATGAACGTCTTCACCACTGACGTGGTCACCTGAAAAGATTACATAGAATATTGTTAAGAAAAATAAGCAAATTGTTTTGAAACTATGCAACTTTTATGAGTAAAATAAATAAGATTGTGTGTGAAAGAAGCAATTAAAGTAAATCAATGATTATGAAAGATATTTTATGTATGTGGTATATAGGTATGTATTTTATAGGTGGAGAGCAGCCTACGTATGGTATGGGTTATGGCTATGTTAATCCAACCTATATATACATAACAGATTTCCACCAAATTGGTCTAACAGATTTTGCGTGAATGAATAACAAACATAGATCCATACGTTCTCACAAAAGTTTTACATTTATGATATAAGTAAGCAAGATTTTCTCTAGAAAAAGCAGTACAGCCAGTATCGACAATGAAGTGGCAACCGAAAATTTGTTGGGATTGTAATTTGTAAATCAAATTTATAAACTTTTTTGAAAAAAAAAACGTTGCCCCACACTAGGATTTTCTCCTGTATTGTGGGTGCGTTTACAAACATACAATTTCACATACACATGACACCCAGACCCGAAACAACAATTTGTGGATCACACAAAGTGTTGTTCCGTGCGAGAATCGAACCCGCGACACGTCGCACGGCAGCCAGTTGCCCAGCCACCGCGCCAACCGTGTTGTCAGATAAACTATTCCTTGTAATTTACACGAAAACTAACAAAAATCATGTTACATGGATTTTGTAACAGTACCATTGATAGCAGAACTTAAATGAATTTACTGTCTTCAAGCAACTTGTCCAAACAACAATAGTTACCCAGAAGCCAAGTTTTAGTTCCCAAATAAAGTTCGCACGTTAGCAGATGGCGCTGCTTTAGAGTTAAAGATTTGTACGCACATTTCATGTTAGCTTAGAGACAAAATTTACCTACCTACTACTTATAAACTTAATTAACCTAGTATGGTTTAGCAGTCAGGATAATTATGGTATTTTAATCAAAAAGATGATCTTAACAGTATTTCACTTGCACTCTCAATCGCAATAATACCGTTGCCCCGGCCCATAGCAGGAGAAGGACTGCGGTGATTTTTGATCAATAAGAGTCTGACACTCCCTCTAGCCTTGGGGCGGAAGAAGTCCTTTTATGGTTTTCTACCCTTAATAAAGCACTTGCACTCGCAACGCTGGCTGAGTATTAATTTTGACATCTTTTCTTATATCATCATCATCATGCAAAGGCCTCTTCTCACACGTAGAAGGTTCGAGCATTAATCACCACGCTTGCTCAATGCGGCTTATTTATATAATTAGTATTTTAACAGAAATAGGGGTTTGTTTTGTGAGGGGAAAATCATCAAATGACTTCTCCCGCCCAGGGCCGGGCGGGAGGGAGTGTAAGACTCTTACTGGCTAAAAACCCCCCTGTTCCTTCTCCTGCTCTGGGCCGAGCCATCATCATCAACATCAGCTCTATAGGGCCCCGTCTGTGGTTATCTATTGGCTCCATGAGGCACGCGCGGAACGCTACGCGCCGTACACTCGGGTCTGGTCCTGGTCGGGCGGCGAGCTGCCGCTGACCGCAGACCCAGACCCAACAGTAATAGGGGTTAAGGTAAGAATAAGTTTCTGTTAAACGCATGTTTGTTTATGCTGCTGTCATTATATAGGAAAGTTATTTAGCAATTATCAATCATTATCTAAAAGCGGCTAATCTCAGATATCTATCCTAGTAAAGACTAGTCAAATCTATGTCAATATTTATAGTACTACTTTAAGTATTTGCTGTGTCATTTAAGGGCAGTTATCATATTTTTTTCTTGATTGCCTCTAATTTTAACACCATACTAGATACGTCAGCAAACTCGTTATTAGACTATCGCTAATTACAATGCCTATACAAAACGATAATCAGTGATCTGGGATTAAATTGTGAAATGGATCAAACTTTAGAAAAAGTGATGTAAAAAGTAAATTTTACATCACGAAAATTAATATTATTTCTTACTAAAACATATTTTTGTTTTACACATGTTGATTGGGGAGGGATAGAGGGAAGGGAAGGATTGGGCCTCCAGTAACCTCAGTCACATGGCGATACTTGTGTATCGCCATTCGCCATCAGTGTTGTCACTGTAATAATTGAGTCACGCCGTTTTCTATAAGGCCGTGGTTTCAGTCCGGTCGAATCGACCCATTCGTGCCGAAACTTAGCTTTTCAAAATTGCAAAGCTAAGCTCAAACAGCTTTTTAAAATTTATTAGCCACGCTGCAAAAACATGATCACTTAAAATATTTTTACAATAAAAACCATTTGAAATAATTAATTTTAAAGCCAACTAATAAAATCCTGGATGAAAAGTATGGGATACCAAAAATATAGCATACTTTTCTGACGATGATTTAGACTCTAAAAATTACCAATATTTAGCAATATATGAATATTTACAATTAAAAAGATGAATAGCTTCCCATTAATCCTGGTTGCGTAAAGCTGGGCGTCAGGTAGCCCAGGCGTGATATTAAAACATCTAGTTTATCATGATGACTCTGCTGAATTTTGAAACTCAAATAAGCAAGCTCTAAATAATAAACACTTTTATTTACACTCCAAACACAAACATATTGTTATTAGCGACACACAGGTGTGTGTACGCAACAAACAAAACAAGAATTGCACCTCCAGTATTCTCAAGATTTTTTTTTTTATGGTATAAGTCGGCAAACGAGCAGACGGATTACCTGATGGCAAGCAATCGGCGCCGCCCATGGACACCCGCAACACCAAAGGAGTTACGAGTGCGTTGCCGGCCTTTTGGGAATGGGGGTTGCGGATATAAGGATTGGGAAGGGATAGGGGAAGGGGAGGGATTGGGCCTCCGATAACCTCACTCACACGGCGAAACACAACGCTGTGAGTTGTTTCACGCCGGTATTCTGTGAGGCCGTGGTATCACTCCGGTCGAGCCAACCCATTCGTGCCGAAGCTTGGCTCTCCCACACTTATATTATAGATATTTTTTTCTTTCTAATTTAATGAGATATTTTTTATGAAACAGCAAATGGACTAGCCTTTTAACTGATGGTAAGCAATCAGGACCTCCAATGGTCCCGTCGCAGCACCAGAGCAGTCACAAGTTCGTTATCTACTTTATTTAGTTAACATTTTGAGGATTGGGCAATCAGGGGATTAAGCATAGAGGGATTTAGGAATTTAGGAATTGAACATTGCCTTTGCTAACTTCACTCATATGGCAAATTATAAGGCCTTGTTTTTTTTTGGCTTTGTGTGAAGCCTTCGTGGTGATGCACTTAAGCCAGCCTATTCTATCCAAAACATATCTCACGTGAAAATTATCACCATCATTAGAAATAGCCAGAATACATCTACGATTAAGCATTTGACTGCCGACAAAAACTGTTGAAGGCTAATCCTCCGCTAGCATCGGACAGCATTGTCCGACATGGCGTTCTAAGTGTTAAACAAAGGAACAGGGAATGGAGATAAAATAGAAATAACAACCTGAAGAGATTCATTGTGGCTAGGAAAAGGTCCCTAGGTCGCCAGCCCGATATGTTGGTCCGATGAGCACTGCTCTTGATTCTACTATCCACAATGCCCCTACACCTCCTACGACAGAATAAGGTGGAGGGCAATCGTGGCAAAGAATGTGATGTGAAAGAGGTGGTCACGGCCTTCAGCAATGAGGAACTCAACGAAAGAAGGCTACTTAAAAAAAATTAAAAAAAGTCCTTTCAGTTAATGATCTTTGTGTGATTAGATGTAAAGTTAACATCATCAGCATCATGACTTGACTTGACTCTTCTTACACAAAGAAGGCCTGAGTATGATCCAACACGCTTGCTCAAGGTGTAATTAGTCTTGCTCAAAGTAATTTTAAGTCCAAGTTTCTTACGGAATTTTCTTACAGTATATGAGTGTTACAAAAAGTCATATAAGTAAGTACATGGCAGAAAATCATTAATAATAATAATAATATAATAATAATAATAAAATTTATTTATCCACAGTTACATAAAGTTTGCCTTAAAGTTAGTTACTATTAGGTACAATTATTTGTTGTAACTTGGTGTTGTAGCGGACATTGCTTTTTGGAACGGCGGTCCCCAAACTAGGCAAGGCCTGTATCTTGGGGTCCCGAGTTGTGGTTACCAAAGAACCTTAGTAGAAAAGTCGGTCGGGACGTGTGTGGTGCATTTGTTGTGGACAGAAATAAAAACTTAAACAAAACATTCTATAAAATACAAATAAAAAAACTTAATATTAAACTAGGTAATTTAAACGTTTTTTAAATAAATATTGTCTCCTTCTAGACATTGAAAGAAAAAAGAAATTATAATTCAAGAAATTTTAAATTTATTCGAGCTTAGCTTATCTATCAGTCTCAGCTTGATACTTGTGTGTGTGTGTGAGTGTGTGTTTGTGTGTGTGTTTGTGTGTGTGTGTGTGTGTGTGTGTGTGTGTGTGTTTGTGTGTGTGTGAGAGAGCGTGTGTGGGTGCGCGGGGGGTGTTAGTGCGTCCTTTCGAGTGTAGATTGTGTTGTGAGAATATTTTCTGTCTCTTCGTACGAAAGTTCTTTTAACCATTTTTTTAGTATCCTCTTACATGAGGAAAGTGACAGCTCATTTGTGTCAATTGGTAACCTGCGGTGAACGTTGTTGAAGACAGTTGTGTGGAGATAGGAAGGGCATCGTCTGGTTAAGAGGGAAGTCGTGCGTGGTATTGGGATTTTGAATATACGTTTTGACGTGAGTGCATTGTAATCTGGTCTTCCTTTCAGGGATCTTTGGGCGTGTAAGTATGCATTGAGGATAAATAGTTGACGGACACGCAGAACTCCAAATTCTTTGTATAGGGTGTCTGTTGGATAGAGCCTTGGCCTCTTAAGGATAACTTTGATCACTGCCCTATGGGCTCTTTCAAGGTCTATGAGTGTGGTTTTTCCCGCTCCTCCCCAAGTAGATATGCCGTATTGAATAATTGACTGGCATATCGCGTAATATACCATGAGCAGTGTATCCTTTG